GGGATGCCACTAAACTAGGGTTTTTAATTCAGGGAGTAACTAAAGGTAAAGGGTAAAGGGACCCCTGACCATTAGGTCCATCGTGGCTGACTGGGGTTGCAGCGCTAATCTCTCTTTATTGGCCAAGGGAGCCGGTGTACAGCTTCCGGGTCATGTGGCCAACATGACTAAGCCGCTTCTGGTGAACCAGAGCAGCGCACGGAAATGCCATTTACGTTCCCTCCAGAGTGGTACCTATTTATCTACTTGCACTTGACATCCTTTCAAATTGCTAGTTTGGCAGGAGCAGGGACCGAGCAACAAGAGCTCACCCCGTCGCGGGATTCAAACCCCCGACCTTCTGATCGGCAAGTCCCAGGCTCTGTGGTTTAGACCACAGCACCGCCCCTGTCCCTTCAGCTTCCATAGTACTTGCGCCAATGTTTGAAGAATTCAGACAGAGGACAAATGGCAGTTTGAGCTTTTGTCAAAGAAAGCTATTTGTTTTATATTTGCTAGTGGGGAACTGGAAAGGATTTCGTTTATCCAGTTGCCTTATGCTACACATAGAAGGTGCAGTGGTGCCGAAAGTTTCTGAGAAGCAGAAAGTTTGGAGGACATGGGGAGAAGAGACAGAGTAATGCTCAGTCCCACTGTATAACAACACAGGCTAGAAAAGTGCTTTGTGTAAGCAACTTGAACTGAAAGGTGGTGGTGGGAATTCAGGGATGCAGAATTAATGAAATTGGAGCCCAGCCACGAAACAGGTTAACACCCTGACTCTTGGGAAAAGTTAAAGAAAGGATATTTAATGACCACAAGCGCCCCCGAATCATTCCTCCGGTTAAAACTAGTCCAAGCAGAGAACAAGCATGAGAGAGAGAGCGGAACCTTGAGGTAACAGTGCTATGTAGAAATCACACCCTCATTACAGGCCCTTGGGGGTAATTATTATTATTATTTATATCAGCTTTGCAAAGGGATCATTACCCTCCCGTAGAAATGAGCCATTTTTCCAGTACAGCAATCCTGGTATCTCATTAAAAAGCATCAGGCTCAAAGCAAACAAACCATCACATGTCATTTTCATTTTAATAGGGGGAAATAATTATTCTCACAGCCCAAAACGTACATAAAAGTATCTCATAAAATAAGAGCCTGGTTTGAACCAAAGTGTTCAAAACGAGGTGTGTGTGTGAGAGAGAGAGAGGTGCTGATCAATTGTTCGATTGTTAGCCGCCTACGGTGTGAAGGAATGTGAAAGCAACAGAATACTCTAAATTTAAAAATGAGAAGCAAGGTAAGAGGTGAAAGGAATGTGAAAGGCAACTGATGCCTCCTTGGGGCTCATCCAGACTCCCTTTTGCACTGTGTTTTCCAAGAACAGCTCTGCTCGTCCCAAGTCCACGTCCGAGCGGAGTTTTTTGTCCCGCCACTTTTCCCAGGGAAAGCCACAGTTTGCTGCTGAATCGGAATAGCAATTTGCAGAAAACCCAATCTACCTCATCTACTTTTGAAACACATTTCAACTCCATCGTCCCTCCTCTCTCCGAGATGGCTTCAAACCTCAGACTCTGACTTCTGTGGAATAAGGCTACCAACAACACTCTCTATTTTGATTGGACGAAAGCTTATTCTAGACTCTGTCCTTGTTTCAACAAACTAATTCTGGATCTCTAGAAATGGGGCTTTGGTGGGCTGGGAGATGGGGGCTCAAGGTTTTAGTAGCCAGAGCTGCCTCCTCCTTCCCTTCAACCATGATGTGATCATGCTATGTCTGTACAGTGGTACCTTGGTTCTCAAACACCTTGGTTCTCAAACAACTTGGAACCCAAACACTACAAATCCAGAAGTAAGTGTTCCAGTTTGCAAACTTTTTTCAGAAGGCAAACATGCTGTGTTTTGTGTGTTACGCTAAGGTCTGTCTGTTTTTGCAATTTATTTTGCGTTTTTGTGGCTTTTGTGTTTTTGTGACTGTGTGGAACCCAGTTCAGCTACTGATTGATTGATTGTGTGACTGCAGTACATTGTTTATTGCTTTCATTTTATGGTCTCATTAGATAATAAAATTCATGTTAAACTGCTGTTTTAGGGGTGGTTTTTAAAAGTCTGGAACGGATTAATCCATTTTGCATTACTTTCTATGGAAAAGCGCGCCTTGGTTTTGGAACGCTTTGGTTTTGGAACGGACTTCCGGAACGGATTAAGTTTGATAACCAAGGTACCACTGTATGAGCTCCAACTAGAGAACAAACTGTTAAGGTCTCCCCTGTAAGAGTAAGCAACAGTCAAGTAGGTTTTTTGGTTTTCTTTAAGGCACAGTAGAGGGGAAACTGTGTGCCTTGGACCCATGTGTATCTCTCATGCACTGGCCAAGCAGGAGTTTCAATCTCTGCTGTCCTCCTCCTGCCTGAAACCTTGGAGGGTCACTTGGCATCCATCTGTCTCAGGAGACCATGGAGGGTGTGCCTTCAGTGGTGAAGTCAAACCATTTGAGAAATACAGCACCTGCTGTGGCTGCAGAGACCAATAATGGAAGAGAGATTTTTTGGTGCAGCTGGGGCAGATGCACCATGGCATTTCATCTCTCAACGCTCCTCCCAGTGGTTATTCCTCCTCTGGTCGCTGCTATGGAGGCAGGGCCCGACTGCTTATCTCCAGGCACTGCAGCTGTCTGCAAGATATTCCTACACAGCGAAGTTGATATTGCCAGCCTTCGTGTCTCGTTTGCAGACATCTTTGTAACAGTCGTGGTATGGAAAACTGAGCTGGATGAACCAATGGTATGACTTGGTAGAACGGAGCCTCCTACAAACTGCTGTCACAGGATAGGAGTCCTTTGTGGAGTACAGGCATGCTCCCACTTTTGCATGATCAACTACGCATAGTGCCAGGAAATAAACAGAATCAAACCAGGAAATGGAAGGAGAGAGCGGAAGAGTCCTCGTGGCTCATGAGGAGACCCTCCCCGGTGCATGAAGAGACCAGAGGCACAGTGGCGCTTTGTTTAGGCTGCCAGTGTGGTGTAGCGGTTAAGAGTGGTGGACTCGTAATCTGGTGAACCGGGTTCGCTTCCCCGCTCCTCCACATGCAGCTGCTGGGTGACCTTGGGCTAGTCACACTTCTCTGAAGTCTCTCAGCCCCACTCACCTCACAGAGTGTTTGTTGTGGGGGACAAAGGGAATGGAGATTGTTAGCCGCTTTGAGATTCCTTAGGGTAGTGATAAAGCAGGATGTCAAATCCAAACTCTTCTTCTGCTTAGCCTCCCTATCAGCTGGCATGTGGGGTGGCGCAGCTGCAACCAATCACTTTCCAATGCGTCCTCCAGCTGGCCCCCAGAGCTTCAACTCCAGATATTTTGGGCTAGATTGGAGAGCAGGAGAAAAAAATGGAGAGCGGGTTGGTGGTGGTGGTGTTGTTTAGAGGCTTTTTAGAGAATGCTCCCCACTTACGTGATATTCACTTATTTCACTTATGCATGAGGGGCTCCGGAACCATCACATAAATGGGGGGGGGGAGGAGTCTGTATTATAAACGATGCAAGACCAAAGCAGCTTAATAATAGTTTCATGGTGCATCACCCAGTTTTGTTGTTGACTAGTTAGGTCTAGTTAGGGATGCGGGTGGCGCTGTGGGTTAAACCACAGAGCCTAGGACTTGCCGATCAGAAGGTCGGCGATTCGAATCCCCGTGACGGGGTGAGCTCCCGTTGCTCAGTCCCTGCTCCTGCCAACCTAGCAGTTCGAAAGCACATCAAGTGCAAGTAGATAAATAGGTACCGCTCCGGCGGGAATGTAAACGCCGTTTCCGTGTGCTGCTCTGGTTCGCCAGAAGCAGCTTAGTCATGTTAGCTACATGACCCGGAAGCTGTACGCCGGCTCCCTCAGCCAATAAAGCGAGAAGAGCGCCGCAACCCCAGAGTCGCCCGCGACTGGACTTAATGGTCAGGGGTCCCTTTACCTTAGCTAGGTCTAGTTAGGTGTCTGTGACCTATTTTCACTTACAGTCATACCTTGCATTATTGAGCTTCGCAGATATCGGCCCTTATGAGAATGCAGGGGAGCAGCGGGCAGCTTCTGGTCATGGGAGTGGGGCTGGCTAGGACTGGACCGGGTTTTTTCCCTCCTGCCCCTGCAGCCAGGAGCGCCCGGCTTAATAGACTACAGTACAGTGTAAACATAACTTTTATATACACCGGGAAACAAAACTCACTTTCTTGCCGGATTATCTTTATGTTGGGGGTCCGTTATCGTCTATTCACCATCGCTGGGCAGACTCTCCTGACAATGGTGTGGAATTAATAGATCTTTTATAGTTTTAATTCTGTTCATGATTGTTTTTCTATGTTTTAAGCTGTTCTTATTTTATCGGTAAGACACCTTGAGTCTCTGTCGAGGGAAAAGGCAGGGTATAAATAAATGTATATATAATGATGATAATCTCAAAATGGAGGCATCCGCTTTTATGGTGGGGACCAACCGCAGACGTGAGAAAATATCAGAACTGGATAAATATTGCAATTTGGAGGTAGCAGTAGAAGCTGAGAGGCCAAACTACTGTTGGCAGCCATGGTTAGTACAAAAGGTTCGCTCCATCTTAAGAACTACAGCTGCTTTCTCACCCTTTATTAGAGAAATAGAAGGCCATAGTCCCAGGTCTGTACTGCAGGACACAACACATGTGTGTCATTATCAGCAAGATACAGGCAGACATTAAAGTAGGTACAAAACCGGTAATTCAGCTCAACAATTGCACCAACCGGTCCTGCAACTGTTAGCTTCTAGTAAAAAATCAAGAGAAACGATCGGTCACTCTGAAAGCAAAAAAAGATGCCAAATGGAATACCATGCCAAATGGATTGCTGCAAAGTGAAATCTGGTTAAATTGTCATGTCCACTGTCCCCTCAAACCCCGCTTTCCCGCTCATAAGAACGCAAGACCATAGAATCACAGAACTGTAAAGTTGGGAGGGACCATAAGAGTTCATCTAGTCCCAACTCCCTGCAATGCAAGAATCTTTTGTCAGAGTCTGATGTGGGGCTTGAACCCACAAACCTGAAATTAAGAGTCTCATGCTCTACCAACTGAACTATCCCAACATACAAAAATCACTACTGAATCAGGCCAGTGGCCCATCTTGTTTAGAAAAGCTATTAATGTTTCATGTTTTAAATATTCTGTTGGGAGCCGCCCAGAGTGGCTGGGGAAACGAAGCCAGATGGGCAGGGTATAAATAATAAAATCATTGTTGTTGTTGTTGTTATTATTATTATTATTACTCCAGCATCTTGTTCTCAGCTGAAATGTTGTCTGTGGGGAACCAGGGAGCAGAACATGAGCAAAGAACAACACTCTCCCCTCCCAGTTTCCAGCAACTGGTATTCGGAAGCACTGATGCCTCCAACTGCAGAGGCATAGCACAGCCATCATGACTAATTTATTAAATTTAAATTTATTTAATGTACTATCCTATACCTGCAGGTCTCAGGGAGGTTCACAGGATAAAATCAGAATATAAAACCACAAAGTGTATAATCAAAATAAAGACAACCACCCAATAACAAACACACACCCCACACACATTTTAAAAGGGCATAGGATGTCAATCAAATAATAGCTATTGATAGCCCTCTCCTCCATGAATTTGTCTAATTCTCTTTAAGTTGGTTGGCCAGCGCTGCCTCCCGTCACGTGGAAGGGAGTTCCACAGGTTAACGCTGCCGCTGCGCTCTCCTGACTCCTTCCCGCTTCAGCGCGGACCCAAAGAGACTCAATGTCACCCCGCAGGGCGCGTCCCTTCAACCTTTCCTATCTCTGTGGCGATAACGATCAACAAAAGCAACTCTCCGCCGGGCGGCCCAAGCGCGCGATGACGTCACGTTCCAAAATGGGAGCCGCGGCGGCGGCGTGCAAAATGGCGGCGCCCACGCGACCCAGATCCAAGATGGCGCCGCCCACGGGTGGAAGGAGGAGCCCGGTTCCCAAGATGGCCGCCCTCCTAGCTCCGAGCTGCTGGCGAGCCGGCTCCAAGATGGCCGCCCTCAGAAGCGTCCGGCTGGCCCTGGGAGGCGTCCGGTTTTACAACGCTCGGCCGCTGAGGCGGCGGCTCGGAGGGGTTTACCGGCCGGATCCCGAGAACCCTCGCACGCCGCCCTGGCAGCTGACGGCCGCCTACGAAGCGAAGGTGTACGGGCGCCACGGATCAGCCTCCGGGGTCGACCCGGCCGGACTCTGGCCCAGCCCGGAGAAGCTCCGGGAGATGGAGGCCGAGGAGAAGGCCTGGTACCCGTCTCTGAGGGAGATGCAGGAGCGGCTGGACGCCAAGGAGCAGAGAGCCGAAGCCAAGCGGCGGGCGAGGTGAGAGGGGCTGCGGCCAAGGGCGCCCTGCTCCCCCCGGGTGGGGTCGGATAATATGGATAATATCGCTTAAGCCTTAAGGGATGGAAATAGTTCTATCAACGATTGGTTTAATTGATTCATGCGACTTTTTAAAAATAATCTTTATTGCATATTAAACATTTTCAAACATATATTAAACATTACATCCAAAGCTTCAAAACTAAAAAGAAAAAATACAGAAAGAGTAAAAATATGAAAAAAGAAAAAAGAAATTGATCAAGTACGCAAAGTTATTCAAAGGATACAAACGGAAATTTGATTACAGTATTCTATACTCCCAAGTTTCCAGAAAGAAATTACATTTATACTCCATCTTTTCTTTCTTTCTTTCTTTCTTTCTTTCTTTCTTTCTTTCTTTCTTTGCAGTCACTTTCTGCAAAGACGTGATTCATGCGACTTATGCCAGGGTGTTTTTGCTTGTTTGTTCTTTTTTATTACGTTATTGTTCTTTTTCTATAATTTTTATTAAATTTTCTGTTTTACATTTCAGAATGTTCATTTAAACAACCTTAAAATATCACTGACTTCCCTTCCTCTCTTTCCATGGTTCATTTTACAAAACACAAATCCCTGCATATTTTATATAAACTAAACCATTCGGTATTCCATTATTAACATCTATCAACACTTATTTATGCTGCTGAATTTATCTTAAGGCTGCCCACGTTTTCAAATAAACACAGCTTTCCTCCATATATCCTGTTACGTTATTGCTCTTTGTTGCTTTGTAAAAGCCGCTTTGGGATTCATTTGGGTGAAAAGCGGCGTGGAAATGGAATAAATCAAAACCAGCAAGCCGCCTGCGAGGGTTGGACTAGATGACCCTTGGGGTCCCCTCCCAAGTCTGCAATTATAGGATTCTGTGAAACTTTGGCAGGATAGCAATAGAACAAGTAGATGTGTTTGTATTTTCACATATGAGAGAGTAGGAGGGAGAAGATGGGTCATATAGGACAGCTTGTATTATATATCCCGTCACCAGAATTGGTGAAACCGTGAGAGAGGGCAGTGCAAAAAAATGCAAAAGTACAGGTGACAGCACACATACTACAAAAACTATTGTATATATACAATAGAGGGAAAGGAGAAGGAGAGAGCTTCACAATTTTTATCATACTTAGGGTTGCCATATTCCCCAAAGTGAAAATCAGGACAAAATTGTTGAGCTTGCTTTGGGGGGGGGGCATCAAAGTTTTCAAAGTTGGGTGCCATTTCACTGACTGAAAATCCAGACATATGGCAGCCCAATTGTGTATTATCTTCTTCCAAAAAGATTGCAGGAAGCTGGGTATATTAGCGCTATCGCTAAAGTATCCTCCAGGTTAGTAAAGCTGACGCAAATGGAAGTTAGCCCAGGAGGTTGTCTCAAACTTATGTGGCTAGACTAGAGAGCAATAGGTAAGATTTGATATTGTAACACGCATGGGAATAATATGAAATGTGCCTTCTAAGAACCGGTTGTTGTAGGTAAGAAGAGGAACAGTATATCCTTATTTACACAGGGCACCGCTGCTTACCTTTCTGCAAGGTGTCTTGGCAGTCAGTAAACAAAAATGTCCTTTTGGAAAGACATGAATTGTACTCTCAGGATATGGGTCTCTGTGGTTTCTCGCAATGATAGACAACAGGAAATCTGATGTGGAAGGTACCACCCAGACCACCTTTTAACTGCAAGGTGACACCAGCCTTCTGCCTGCCTGCTCCCAGTCCAGACCACACTGTGTCAAAAGCGGAGACAAAGGGCATTGCAAAAGACAAGACTCTCAAAGTATGCTGGGCCAGATATATTGTTGGTGTAGCCTTCAGCTGGTGGTAATTTTCCTTTCTGAATTCAATTCTGAGGACATTTAGAAGGAAAAGATTGATTTCCCCCCCTCGGTTGTTTCCCTAATTATGCAGGTGACTTGTAGGCAGGCTTCAACAACTACACTTGCCCTAGCAAATATGGCATGGTCGCCTCTTGAGCGCTGAGCAACAAGCCTTCCTCCCAACTTTGGGATCATCCTGGCAGCTTCATGGCAAGTCCTATCCCTTACTAAAGTTGAAAGGGAGGCTGGGGGTGCTAGGCCCTTGCAGCACCTTGGTCCTATAAGGGTTAACCCAACAAGCTTGGGTTTTCAGCTTAGTGGCAAGAGCTTCTGTGGCCACACTCTGAGCTTGGCATAGCAGCTCTGACACCATAGCTGACTGAAGTCAGAATACTCCCTGCCAGTCTGCATGAAGGGTAGAGGGAGCTTCCTTTGCTGTTGGGTAAAGGTAAAGGGACCCCTGACCATTAGGTCCAGTCGTGACCGACTCTGGGGTTGCGGCGCTCATCTCACTTTATTGGCCGAGGGAGCCGGCGTACAGCTTCTGGGTCATGTGGCCAGCATGACTAAGCCGCTTTTGGCGAACCAGAGCAGCGCATGGAAACGCCGTTTACCTTCCTGCTGGAGCAGCACCTATTTATCTACGGTACTTGCACTTCGTGCTTTCGAACTGCTAGGTTGGCAGGAGCAGGGACCAAGCAATGGGAGCTCACCCCGTCACAGGGATTCGAACCCCCGACCTTCTGATCGGCAAGTCCTAGGCTCTGGTTTAACCCACAGCACCACCCGCGTCCCTTTGCTGTTGGGTAGAGGCACTTTTTTCCATCAAGCCAGCAGAGGGGAAGTCTCTGATGACCACAGTTTTTGTCTTCGCTTGCAACGCTGGCCAAAAATTGTAGACCCTTGTTTTTAGGCTGGTTCCACATTTTCACTCACTGTGATCAGTATGCTGCTGCCCTCTGGTGAGCATTGTGAGTCTTAGCTGCTGCTACCTTGACCTTGGGGAAGGAGGTGGGAATTGTCCTCACAGTGGCCGCAAGATGATCTCCTCTACTCCAAGGCTGAGGTCCTTTGGGCGCTGAATTGCCAATCCACTTGGGGCATCTGGCCAATGCAGGTTGAAACAGAGAACAACTTACGTACCTTCCTTTCCATTGGAGGCCTGAGGCCAAGGAACATCATCTTGGTGATTACCAGGGCCAGTCAAAATTAAGGACATCTGCTGGCGTAATTCTCTCCTCCAAAGGCAAACCTTTGGACCCATTTGGGATGGGAATTGGAGGCTGTATTTCAGTGGTTCTGTTCCAGCAGGTGGACTGGTTCCATAACATGCTGGGGAACTGTTGCTCTTCCATGGCACTGGTAGTATGAAGTTCTGCCAGGGTTTATATCTCACCCTCCCCCAAATTTGTGTTATGCTTCTGAGCGAGGATTTAGGACTGGCTGTCATCCTTTTGACTGAATCAGGTAGAATAGCGGAAGTTCTGAATAAGTATCTAATGTCAGTGGGTAAGGGCTAAAAATTGACTCACAATCCAGGTAAATTAGAAGTCCCTTTGGTAGGTGGCTTGTCTGAACAGGGAGGTAACAGTCAACCTGTTCCACTCTTGGTTAAGGGCCAGTTTGCCCCATGGAGCGCTGTTGTATATGGTGCTCACACTAAATGCACAGGTGGCACATGCGACGTAATGCACGTTCACCTGGCACCACCTGCAGTCCCTCCCGGATAGAGAGGCTGGCCACTAGTAACAATTTATGTTGCGTTTTAAGACTCCTCTGAAATTTCAACTGGTGCAAAGAACACGACAGCTAGACTTCCTGGAAGCAGGGTCAGTCAGAATCACTTTCAGTTATTTTAAAACAGTGTCAGTGGATTCTGGTTCATTTCTGGGGTCAGCTCAAAAGTGCTTATTTTAACCTATAAGCCCTGTTAGGTTTGGGACCTGGGTATTGAAACAACAGTAACAACAACCTTATTATTAATATAACAACAACAACAACAACAATTATAAATTATTAATAATAATAATAATAATAATAATTTTATTGTCAATGTACAACCTGTGTTGTACATAAATGTATTATTGTTTGTGTACAAACACTCAATCTCATTGCACTCTGTGTGCTTGTCGCACAACACAGCAACCCCGAAAGTCAGTTGCACTATATTATTTTCCGTTCAGCAGCCTAACAGCCCACAGATAGTAACTGTTTTTTAGCCTGTTGGTACGACTGATTATACTTCTATATCTCCTGCCTGAGGGTAGAAGATTAAAGAGGTGCTGGCCTGGATGTGAATTGTCCCTGAGAATTTTTCTCGCTCTCCTAAGGCAAGGATCCCTTGCGATGTCATCTAGCAGGCTCAGGGGATAGCCCATGATATCATGTGCTGTGTTCACCACCCTCTGTAAAGACTTTCTGTCCTTGGCTGTCAAGCCAACGTACCACACTGTGATACAATATGAGAGGACACTTTCTATTGTGGACCAGTAGAAGGAGGTCATCAATTGTTGTTTAACGTTCTTTCATAAGACCCTGAGGAAATGGAGTCTCTGTTGGGCCTTCCTAACCACCTGAGTTATATTGTTTTTCCACCTTCACTAAGGTAAACTCCCAGGAATTTAAAGGAAGAGACTCTCTCCACACAACCCCCCTGATATACAACGGGGCTAGTTCCCCTCTCTTCCTCCAAAAGTCCAACACCATCTCCTTTGCCTTGCTAATATTTAGGTGCAAGTTATTCTCTAGGCACCGTGTAGATACTTTTTGAACCTCCCCCCGTACGCTAATTCATCTCTGGCTGTAGTTAGACACATTATGGTAGTATCATCTGCAAACTTAATAATTGCAGTAAATGGATCAGGTAAATATTGCCCACACATTAAGATGATCCTCAAGACATTCTCCTCCAGTTGCCTCTTCCTTTGCACATATGGTGGCTGGGAAAGAGCCTTATGTATTGAGATATTCCAACTTTGTAATGTTGTCCCAGGATGGCTCACCTGGTGCTTACCTGGTGCTTACCTTGCGTGAGTTCAGTTGCTGGGTTTAAACTATTCTAGTTGTCAGGGTTTTTTTAATTTAAAAAAAATAGTCACATTGACATACTTCTTGCTGTTGCTCCTGCTGCTTTATTGTGCCTTTATTACTGAGTTATTTGTATTTTCATTTTTTAAACTTAATGCTTTCAGAGTTTTTTTTTATTGAAATGTGAGGCTTGAGTCATTTTAAATCAAAGAATGTGGCATGTCTTGAACTATTCAAAGGGAGTCTATATCTCTTTTTTCCAGCTTGTTGGGGAGTCTGCAGGTGTTTGATCTTCTGTTTTTGCTCTCTTCACAGAGAGGAGCACATTGCTTCCCAAATGGCCAAGATGCCAGAGATGATTGCAAACTGGTTGCGGGAAAAGGAGGAGCGCAAGTCCAAAGAGCGTGAAGAGAAGGAGCGGCGGCAGATGCTGCTGGCTGAAGCCCGTGAGCGCTTTGGTTACAACCTGGATCACCGCAGTGCTCAGTTCCAAGAGATGGTGCAAGAGATGGAGAAGGCTAGAAAGAAGGAAGCCAAGCTGCAGAAGAAGCAGCGGAGAGAGGAGGCTCTGGCCAAAAAGGCAATGCAAAGCGCACCTGTTGCCTCACTCCCAGACAAAGAAGGGGAGGTGGTTGCAACAGAGGCATCACATCAGGTCACATAGTCTGTTGGGGCTCTGGACTGTGCATTGAGTTAACCTGGTGCAGAGGCCCAGCAAGCACATCTCTTGCAACCCTTGATCCTGCCTGAAGGTCATTTCCCAACTCTCTGACCACCGATGAGAGAATATTCAGGTGTTCTCTCCCTATCCCTCCAAAATGATCACCAAAAATGGATTTGGAGTAGCAAATACCTTTGCTGCTAATGCTTCTGAATTCCTTGTTGATGGATCCTGAGGGTGATGATGTCAAACTTTGACTTATATCTTTCCAGTGCAGTAAACTACCCTCACTTACTAGCTGGCTGGTGTGTTGCATGCAGTTACAGACAAATAATTGTACGTGGTATTTTTAACCTTGGTTTTCTTATATTTTAAATTTAACAGACTAATAACAGGAGAAAGAGCCCCAAACCTGCCAAGCCCACCATGTTGTCTATTTATGTTTGTATTTTGCCCTTCCTTCAAAGAGCACAGAGTGTTATCCTTGCAACAAAGCTGGAGAGGTGGGCCAACCTGTGGTTTCTTCCAAGGCCACTCAGTGACCTTCGTGGCTAGGCAGGGACTTGAAACTCTGGGTCTTTGTTTAAACCCAATTCCAGCTCTTGTGCCACTCTGTGTTTTGATTTGTTGCTGTGTGTCCACAGTTTGAAGGGAGGCAAGAAAGTTGGTACTTCTTATGGGGCAAACGTGTCCTGCTACAAGCACACACAAGCTTCAGTTGTCAATAGAACAAGTGAAGTTAGGGCTTCTCCCCATCTTATTGTAGCAGCTACTTTAAATAGCACTTGTGTGCTTATTTATAGTACCAGAATATTCATGAGCAACAAGTCACAGTGATTTTCTTCTTCCTTCAGTGTCTAAAACCATAAAGCAGGCAGCATTATTTGAACATATGAATAGGTGATGTGAAACATCATGTATTTCTGACAGCCCCAGCTTGCAAATGAGCACTAATAATTTATTAACTGCCTTGTTTGCATGTTTTGACACCCAGTCACTCCAGACCCCAATAAACAGCTTGTGGGATTTGACATTATCAGCTGGGCCCTGCAGTGCTATGAACTATCATCAAATGTGCAAACTTAATGCGTTCGGCTTCATTTTGTGTCGGGTAAGTCTTGTTTCAAATAGGATCTGTTTAGCTCCCGAGCTCTTGTTGCAGAGTCCGCAACTGTACTCAGTTTGCTATGTTTCGACAGGCAAGGAGCAAATCCCACTCGGAACTTTTCGGTCAGACCTCTGCTGAAACCAGGGACAATTTACATGAACAGCTGGGAAAGGACTGATATGACTGCAAACCTCTGTCTGCAGAGAAGCAGAGGGTGTATTGTCATGTACAACTATACAGTGGTACCTCGGGTTACATACACTTCAGGTTACAGACTCCACTAACCCAGAAATAGTGCTTCAGGTTAAGAACTTTGCTTCAGGATAAGAACAGAAATCTGGCTCCGGCGGCACAGCAGCAGGAGGAGGCCCCGTTAGTTAAAGTGGTGCTTCAGGTTAAGAACAGACTTCCTGAATGAATTAAGTACTTAACCCGAGGTACCACTGTAGTAGTAGCATCAACGGTATCCTGTAAAAAGAGGCAGTAGGCTGCCCTCTCCAAAGTGTTTAGCTGGGAAGGTCTATATGTTGGTCCCTTTTCCACAATGGAAAGGCCAAGAGATGTTTGTAGCATGGTGATTGCTTCCCTCTAGTGGAACAATTGTAGATTCAGATCTATCAGACTTCCATTTTCGAAACAGCCTTCATTGGGAGCTGATCCCAAATGAATGAACAGAAAGCAGGGGAAATGAAAGTGATACAGGCCTTTTAAAACTACAACCCTAGCATGCTTAGCTAGAGTAAGTCTTAAAGAACTTGGAGGAAATTCAGAAGAGGTTCTAATTTTTTAAAAGTTTCTTCCTAAAAGTCCTTCAGAACTTTATAGGACAGCTAGAATTTAAAGGGGGGACAGGTGCACATAAGATTATCTAAAAGCACGTGGAGGGACACATACATATGTTCAGCTCTGTCTCAGTTTTTCCATGAAAGATTTGAGCCGCTCTTCCACAGTGATCACCATGTGGCCATCCATATACAGTTGTGAAGTAACCTCTAGCATTTTCTTCTTTATGTCGACCAGTTAAGCTGCTCCTCCTTTTTGAGGCTGATAAAACAAATGCCTTACCCTTTAACCCTGGATTTTTGTTAAATTAAAGCAAAACACCTTATATAAATTATTTTTATTTTACATACATTTGTCAGAATGAATTAATCACCCAGTGCTGGCACCAAAATTTCTACATAAAGTTTTAAATCCCAAACTAGGTTAATAATTATTTTTTAAAAAAACAACAAAAAAATCTCCCACCCTTCCCCATCCAGTTAGTAGTAGCGACAGGATTTTGTATGTGTCTGTTTTTCCTTACTTGAGGTGCACTCAAGCTTAAGAAGCCGCGGCGAGCTTCTCTTGCTAGTGATTCTTTTTTTGGTTAGCATTTTGCTTCAGTTGACTCCTGTGTGATGTCTCTACTTTTAGCATATTTTCATTTTTTTAACGTCAACTCTCAAAACAACATACAGCCCCCCCAACTGAGTGCCCATAGTGAAAGGCCCAAGTCATAGGCCCACCAGTGTTAACTTATCTACACACGATCATGCAAGATGTGGGAAGCATCTTAACTGCAATGTGCATGTAATTAATGAAAAGCAGGAAGGCAATGCAAAAATTCTTGTAAGGAAAGGGATGGCAAGAGATGAAACATTTGACCCACTCTTGCAGATTAAAAGTTTAGTTACGTGTTCAGTTGCAAACTTTGCAGGGCTCTCTCAAGCACAAATCCAACCTATGCTCCTGTGAGTATGGGACAGAGTTGGTCACGGATCACATGGGGAATTTGGGGGAAGTGCCACGTTCTGGACTAAGGTACAGATCACAAGCTTGCCCAAAGAGAAGGGACAGAGACACATGTGCGTGCATGGTTTTTTTAAAAAAAGGAACACTATATCCTGTTTCTATGGAGCACAGCACATAAGGCAGAGAACAGCTAAGGCAAGGCCTGTCGTTCTAGACGTTTACTCTGCAACACAGATGAGGTAGAGTTAATTTCATGCCAGTTCTCTTAGCATCTGCTCTAAAAGTCTCACAAGGATGACACTGTTTGCAACCCTTCTTTTGTTCTTAGCAGCACCCCTGCATTTTCCATGCGATTAGGGTATGGTGAAATAGTTTAGCTGCTGCTATAGCATAAGCTTCAATACATTCACATTCTATCTCAGGGGTGGGCCTGTGCTGTTCCAAGTTAGAACAAGGCTCCCTACCACAAAGCACAGGACTGTTCTTTATCCAGTTAGTAGCATTTTAGAACCATTTAATCGTTGAGTTGAAAGGGACCGCTGAAGCTCATCTCATCCAACCCCCTGCAAGGCAGGAATCTCAGCTAAAGCATCCATGACAGATGGCCACCCAACCTCTGCTTAAAAGCCCTCAAGGAAGGCGAGTGCACCACCTCTTGTGGGCGTCTGTTCCACTGTCAAACAGCTCTTACTGTCAGAAAGTTCTTCCTGATATTTAATCAGAATCTCCTTTTTGTAACTTGAATCCATTAGTTCAAGTCCCATCCCTCCAGAGCAGGAGAAAAGGAGCTTGCTGTATTGAGCCTCAATCTTCCTTAACCGGGCTCATAAATTGGGGTGTGCAGGTGCCCAATCTTTTATAAGTACATAAAAGCAACCTGCAGGATCAGGCCAGTGATCCAGGATCCTGTTCCCACAGTGGCCAATCGGATGCCTGTAGGAAACCCGCAAGCAGAATTCAAGCACAAAAACACACTCCCCTCCTGTTAGTGATGTGTTGCTACGTTTGATTTAATGCATTCTCTCCATGAAAGTAGGAGTGGAGCCAATGAGAGTAGCAAGAGAGTAAGTTAGCATGCCACTGCTTCCCTCCATAGCAAAGAATTTTCCACAAGATCAGTCTGTAGATGAATGGTGACCATGCAAAGAGGGTGCATGAAGCTGTTGCCACTTTTATGCTCTGCCTCCACGCATGCAAATTTATTTTTTAAAAAATATTTTACCACGTGTGCTCATGATATGAGCAACACTAAATCATGTGGATCTAATACTGATCCTCTCACATGGGTTTAACACACATCTCTAATAAGCAACCCTGAGTAAAAAGTATGGCAGAAGAGTTCTGGGTAGACAGGGTTACCAATGCAGATGTGATCTGCCCCCTTCTACAGAACCAATAAGTGCTACCTACCATAGAAAAAATAAGAATGCAAAGTGGTTGCGTTCTTATTCCCCATCTCGGTGAATCCGTAGAACTCGTTACTAGAGGCCAATTCAATAACCACATTGAAAGGAAGACAATTTCAGATGGTACGCCCATCAGCTGCCTTTAACCAGGATGATCAGCAATGAACATAAACACATGGGCAGCAGTGAAATTTAAATGATAGAAGAGATCGCATTGCCCCGCAGCTGTTTCCAAAGTATCACAGTCCAGTTATTACTCAGAGGTGGTTTCACTTAAAATATTTACCCACCCTCGTGTAGGACATGAAGGACTGGCTGTTACCCTGCTTCAAAAAACTGCTAAAAATCACCTCCTTATTCCTTTCCAACATTTGAAAACTTTGTCCTTAAATGGAGAACGATCATATCAGTACCAAAAAGTTGTTTGCACTTTTGAAAACGAGAAGGCCACAGCAGAATGTTGAGATAAACCCAGTTTCTAGCCAAAGCTGGAAGTCTTTGCTAGGTGACTTAAACTTTCAGGTTCAACACCAATGTGAAATGAAAGGCCACCGGATGCAGGCTCCAGGGTGCTGTGGCTTGCTGAGTTAAAGATCAGGGACCAAGAAGGAAAGGGGATTAGGATTTGCCAACGAAACAGGAGATAGTAAACCAAAAAAAGGAAGGTGGAGAGTACTACACCTTCAGGTTATTTCCAAGTCTTGATTTGATTGTTGGAGGAGGGGGGAGACATTAACCTTCATTTGTAGGACCTTGAGAGAGGAGGCTGATTAACGAAGATGAGGTCCTCCTTTCAGCTTCATTGATTAGCAAGCAATTATTTCCCCAGCTACTTCCTGGTCTTGGAAGTCAAAATTCTGATGGGTAAAGCCTTGTCCATTCCCACACACCAAGTATCAAGCACTAGATTGGTAGCCAAGCAGCACAACAGGTGACGACAACACATTCCTTCCAAACACACCCACCCGAGGAAGGAGGGATCATCCCAAGACCTTGTACTTTGGCAGGTTCCCTCTTTGGTCTAGGTGCTCCTGAGAGCAACAGTTCACCTCCTCTTTCGAGAAAGAAGGCAGGAAACACACCATTCCCTAGGAAGGGCTGTCTCCAACTGCACCATTTTCTTCCTGGCAGGCCTTGAGTTTGGACAATACAGCATGTATCCGGAAGAGAGTGCGTGACTCCATTGAATAATTCTTGTAGTTGTTCCTGTAGGAAGAGGCAACCAGCAGGTGTTATATCCTGGGATGTGTCTATTCTACTCATTGTATTTAACAGCATCCCAAGGTATGTGCATCTCAGTAGCCAACCAATGAAATGATGGTAATTTGGATTAGGGATCATATGGGATCAAAGATCTGGCTCAGTACAAAGCAGCTTCATGTTACTAGTTCTAAGATCTTATTGCCCAGAATGCAGTTTCAATGGTTGGATTGGAGGAAAGGATGAGTGGCTGAACTGGCAACCTTTATTCCTTAACCTCCATGGGGTTAATAAATCTTACAGGATTCCATATACAGGTGAAACTCAAAAAATTAGAATATCGTGGAAAAGTTCATTTATTTCAGTAATTCAACTTAAAAGGTGAAACTAATATACGAGATAGATTCATGACATGCAAAGTGAGATATGTCAAGCCTTTATTTGTTATACAGTGATACCTCAGGTTAAGAACTTAATTCGTTTGGAGGTCCGTTCTTAACCTGAAACTGGTTCTTAACCTGAAGCACCACTTTAGCTAATGGGGCCTCCTGCTGCTGCTGCTGCTGCACCACCGGAGCACAATTTCTGTTCTCATCCTGAAGCAAAGTTCTTAACCTGAAGCACTATTTCTCGGTTAGCAGAGTCTGTAATCTGAGGTGTCTGTAACCTGAAGTGTATGTAACCCGAGGTACCACTGTAGTTGTGATGATTATGGCATACAGCTGATGAAAACCCCAAATTAACAATCTCAGAAAATTAGAATATTGTGAAAAGGTGCAGTAGCTATTCAATCCACGATATTCTAATTTTTCGAGTTTCACCTGTACATTACAGGGTAGCAAGAGCTTCCGAGGAAGCTTTTGCTCTCTTTCTTAAAGCCAAGCATTGTGGAATAAACCGGGGGCTCACTTACTTCGCCCGACGAAGCAGCTGCACAGCCTCTTCATTACGACCTTGTGCCACATAGAGGAGACTCAACTCCAGCAGTGCATTGGGTACCAAGTAGTGATCATACCGGATCCTCTTCTCACTGCAGACAAGGAGGCAAACATGTGCATGAAAAGTGGCTGGGTTTAGGGCAAAGGTCTACTTGGTCTTGATTTGTTTTATTTATTGAATTTATATACCGCCCTATACCCAGATGTCTCGGGGTGGTTCACAGAATAAAATCAAGATATAAAACCACAAAATACATAATAAAAATAAAAACAATACCCCCCCAAAAAAAGACAATTTTAAAAGGGCATGGGATGTAAATCAGTCCAACCCAAGGCCAGGTTAAAAAGGAACGTTTTTGCCTGGCGCCTAAAGGTGTATAATGAAGGCGCCAGGAGAACTTCCCTGGGGAAGCCACTGCAGAGAAGGCCCCGTTCTCGTGTTGCCAACCTCCCGACCTCTCAAGGAGGAGGCACCCGAAGGAAGGCCTCATAAGATGATATCAGGGTCTGGGTAGGTGGATATGGAAAGAGGTATTGGAATGGAATGAACATATATGAATTAATAAGAGGTGGAACACAAATGGGAACCAGATTGTTGTGTTTGCAGAGGATTGTAGGTAGAATGGGAAGCAACTTACTCCTTGAGGAGCATCTAATTACTTTCAGCCATCTAAAAAGTGAGGCCTTAAGAGAGGAGGCCTGAAGCCCTTTTTCTGTGCCAGGCAGAATGATCCTTACTTTGGGGAAAGCCCAGCTCATTAAAGAAAAACCCATATTCTCCTCCAAATGGACTGGAAACTCTTGGGAATCTCACCTGCCGTGGACAGCACTGAAGCAAGCCTCTGCTTCAGCCGAACTGTGCAAGTGCTTCAGGACCAGGCCTTTGAGAAGAAGCACCAGACACCGGTCGTCCACCTGGTGCTCACTGGCTGAAGGTAATGAGGAAGAATAGGAAGAAAAACAGCAAAAAGAGAGGTGAACCAGTCTAAGCAGTTGCTGCCCCCAACTCCACACTTGAGGAGCAGTTGGCAGTTCATATGCATTCAGATTATTGGTCAGCAAACACTTCCTTTTTTCTCAACCCTACAACTAGGAAGGAAAACTCAGTGTTTCCCCGCTTACATAAATTTCCCTGCCTCGTTTACTTGTGAGCCAGAACAGACACTTTGTAAAAAAACAGGCCAAAAAAGGAAGGCTCCAAATATTATTTCCCAGGATCAAGGAATCGTAACTTTGAAGTCCAGTACAAAATATTGTGACCTTGCCTTCTCATGGTTTCAGAGAAATTCTGCCAAGTTTCTGACAAGGATTTGAAAACTAAAAGAGGTTATCAAGATTTCCCAAACTTTTAGCGTGTCATTTCGTCCCCGCAATCAGTTGGACTGGTGCAGTAAAGAAAAAGCAATTTATATATGTTGTATATATAACATTGTGCCACCAGGGGGCAATGTCGAGTCCTGTTTTTCTCTGCCTGTTTTCCCTGTTTTAAATTTAGTAAAGGTAAAAGGACTCCTGACCGTTAAGTCCGGTCGCAGACGACTGTGAAACTGAAAAGCTTCTTTGATCCAGTCCCTGTCTACCTTGCCCCCAAATCCTATTACAGTGGTACCTCGGGTTAAGTACTTAATTCGTTCCGGAGGTCCGTTCTTGACCTGAAACTGTTCTTAACCTGAAGCACTACTTTAGCTAATGGGGCCTCATCCTGAAGCAAAGTTCTTAACCCGAGGTAATATTTCTGGGTTAGCGGAGTCTGTAACCTGAAGCGTATGTAACCCGAGGTACCACTGTACTACTTATATTATTTACTTCTCTAAATATTGTGCCTAGCTATTAGGATATGCAACTTCTATTTTTTGCATGTATTCCAGAAAATAATTTGCTATTCTAGCAACTCTGCATGCCCACCTGCACATTGCCACTTTCGTGAAACCAGTGTGTTACCTGGTGCTTTCTGTAGCAGCTTCTCAGCCTGTGTCAGAGTCTCTAGAGTCCCCTTGAGCAGTTCCTGGCGCTTGCCCAGGACAGTGAATCCATTCCACATATACATCATCTCCTGGGAGGGAAAAGCACAGGTAGGCCTTGGTTATGATAGCAGGAATTTGGGACGGAGGTGGGGAGAGGGGAGAGACAGAGGCCGCAGCAACTCCTTCCTCATCAAACAATTTTTGCCATCCGAGGGGAAGCAGACAGAAGCTTCTTGCCTCTTGAGACTCGTACATGCATCTCTTGTGTGCAACTAGATGCACACAAATGGACGGGTGTGGGAGGACACAATGTTCCTCGGATGTGAGAGCGTAGCAAATATGTTTTCCGCATCAGGATTTATGAGAGGAAAATGCACACCTCTTTCTTTTCATTTCTACGTGCGGCCCCTGGACCAATTTAAAACTAACAATGAGATGCACAGCTTGCAGATTTAACATATAGAATAAGAAGAATGCACATTTAAAGAAGACTGAAAAATGTTTACTGAGTACATGGGTGAAAATTGTGTTCATTTAAAATGCTGGTAGCATTAAGATAAATTCAACAGTGTAAATAAGATTTGATGGATGTAACATTGGATTACTGAATGGTTTAGTTCATGTAAAATATGCAGGGATGTATGGTATGCAAATTGAACAACGGAAAGAGAAGAAGGGAAGTCATTGATTTAAGGTTGTTTAAATGAATATCTTGAAATGTAATTTAGAAAATTTAATAATATATATATATATATATATATATATATATATATATAAAAAAATAAAAAATAAAACTGGCAATGAGAGCACGGTCATGAAAAGGTTTTCCATTCACTTGAAACCATGACATCTCTCGCACCCATGCCCACAAGCGTAGAGAGGTCATGTATCTCCACCCTTACCAGGGCTGGCACAGGCAGAGGAACATGTTCGCTCGCTTTGTAGCGCCTCGCTTTGCGGATGGCAAACTTCTCTGTGGGTGGAGACTTCCCTGCGATCTTCTGCTTGAAGGAAGAAACTTGCCTGCAAGGGAAAGAAAGGTGGAGAGCCTCACTGCAGCTTTGTTCCAACAGGGAAGCCAAAGAGAGAGACTCTGTGCTCCCAGAAGTGCTTCATCCAACTTTCAGGGACTCTGGCTACGCTCGCTCAAGGAGCCTGCCTGCTGGCAGGCAGCAAACCTCATCCACAGCTTGCAGCCATTCAGATAGGCGCCAATCACACAACAGTCCTCCAGTAACACTGCTGTTATTTCTGCACAGCAAATATTCTGGCAAAACACTTGCAGAACTGAGGCTCCTAGACCAGGGGTACTCTAGTTGCTAGCACCTTACAGTTGCAACAAGAGAACAAAACTCAGCCCGCATTATCCCTCCCTCAATAAGTGCTAGTATGTGACACAAAGGGGGGGCTTTTACCTGAAGAGCTCAACCTCATCCTCACCAAAAGGCCGCGGTTCCTCTGGAGGCAGCATGCTAAGGAAGGCAGCTTTCATGTACACATACATTGCCTGTAGGGAGACAAGGAGGGTATAAAGAAGGGAAGAAGTCCAACCAGGGACAGAGCAAGGTGGTGAGAGGGAGGGAGGACGGCAGCAGTAGGTTTGCTTTAGGGAGTTTAAAGCCTGGGAATCATAGTGAGCGAGACTCTTCTGACTGAGCTGGAAAAGGGAAAGGAAAGCACATAGGAAAGTCCCTCCAGCTGCAGACATAACCGAGCATTGGCCACTCACAAACTAGGCATTTGGGAAGTTTCAAGAGCTTGGAGGGGCATGTAGCAAGAGCAACACAAAATAGATTCCATTGTTCAAGAGTGCCTGGAAAACACCTAACCCAGATGCATGTCATCTGGCCATAGTGACTAATGATGAGGGATTCTGACCTCATTCAGAAAGTAAGGGGTAGGATTGAGAGCCTGGCAGGCAGGATATCAGCTTTAGTCATCAGAGGCTGAATCTGAGTGGGCCTTGCAATGCATGAGGGAAGAGAAGGAGAAAAGCTGTGAAGCAGAACACACACTCAGAGCTTGATATAAAAGGCAAAGCCAGCCTGGCGGCATAAGGTCTCCTAGCAGCCATTTATGCTGGTGATAGTTTTAACAAAGTGAGGCCTACAGGGTGCCTTGCCGCATTGAACAGGGTGCAACTCCGGTCCCATAGCACACCTGCAAAATATTCTGAGCTGGGTTAATTGTATACTAAAAGGGAAAGAAGTACTTCCAGGCAACGCTTCACACAGGCATTGCAGTTCCAGGGTCTGCCAGCTGAAGTTACTGGAGGTTCTGCTACTTTGGCTGTAAAGGTCCCCAGAACCCTGTGGATCAGCTAGTATCAGAAGAAGGCACCTAACCTCAGTGCTCTCTTCTTATTTGAAGCAGGGAAAAGTCTCCCACTTTCCAGAACTGAGGTCTATCTCAAAGGAAACCCTGCAGGGAACAATAACTCCTCCATCCCGCTGCTCATTAACCTGTTCGCATTTCGCACCTTGGACCAGCGATTCTCCTTGCTCAGCAGGTCTGCATAGAAGTAGGCCATCTTCCACATTCCTTTGTAGGCAAAGCACCACATCAGCTCCCAGTAGCACATATGGTGAAACTGCTTCCAGGCCTGCTGGGCTGAGCAGCCTTCTTCAAACTTCTTGATGGCCTGGGCAGAGATGGAGAGGCCAAGCCCAGGTTAGTCCAAAAAGGAGGTGAAGGGTAGCAACAGCAGCAGCTCAGTACTTTTCACTAGCAAGCACAGTGGGAAGGGCTTTATACTGGAAGCAAAACTCCCAGCCTTTCGCCATGGGGGAGCTGTGATTTGGTGGTGTAAGAATGTGTGCGGCCGCCTCTCACCTCATTGATGTTCCCTTTGATCTCCTCTATCCTCCCGGCGAAGAATAAGAAAATGGCACTCTGCAAGGCGAGAGAAAGAGGACTCAGACATGAAAGACAGGGAGCCACAAGGCATGTGAAGCTCAGACTCCTCAATTAATTCATTCATACACACACACACACAATATGTGATGGCCTGGGATTCGGACTCGGATGCTGAACCTGAGGAATCCCAGCCTGCACAGGACTCCCCGCCTCCAGAACCAGCTGAGCCGAGGCTGGGGCATGAGCCTGAAGGGTCCACACCTGTGCTGGATCCTCAGGTGCAGGCATCAGCTGAGTCTGCTCGGGCTCCTGAGGTGATGGAGGATGCATTGCCTGCAGGTGCTCCACTCTCAGCCCCGTCAGAGGAAGCCGATGTTGCCTCTGGGTCCGGTAACCCTCCAGCCTCTCCTGAGCTACAGAGGCTCAGGGCAGAGAGGCGGAGGTAACTAAGTTTCCGCAGGAGGAGTGCTCGCCTCCAGGCCAGGAGAGGTGAATCACCAGAGGATCGGGGCTGCCCTATGCCTCGGGGCAGATAAAAGCCGGCCAGCCCCAGTCCCAAGTTGCGGGAGCAACATTGTTGGTTGCTAGTTCCTGCCTGAACCCTGTCCTGCTTTTCTGCCAGAGCTCCTGACCCGCCCTGGCTCCCTGCTTGCAAGCCTGTTCCTGTCTTCACCTGACTCCCTGCCCTGCACCCAGCTTCAGCTACTACAGACTGCCTCCACGTTGCACCTTTGACCACGGACCGGACTTGGACCTCGCTTCTTGGGTAAACCACGGGACCAGCACACAATATCTGAAGATGCATGAAAAGCATGGACCCAGCCTCTGAGGGCACCTGCAGCCTGTTCAGAGGTGGCGGCGGCGGCGGCAGGAGAACGTGGCCTAAGACTCCAGAGGCCCCATTGGTCAACCCACTTATAAGGGCAGAGAAGAACCCGCCAGGTGTTTCCTACAGCATCTCTGAGGGCCTAGGACCATGGTCTTAAGACCCTGAGGCCTTCTGAGGCTGAGAAGATTAGGTTTCTCCCTCAACGCAGCAGTCAAAAGGCGGGAGAGTTGTGAGAAACCGCCACCCAACTCTAAGCACACCATGCCTGGTGCTTTGGATCTGCCTCGCGCAACACCAGAGTAGGGCACAAATGCCGCCCCAGGCACAGGGGCTGCCGCAAAGCCTAGTAGCAGAAATCCAAGAGATTCAAACCCCTACCCCCACCCCACCCCAGTCACAACAGAGGGTGCCGGCCTGGTCTGCACATGCAGCAGAATGATGTGGTAGAGTCTCAAAGGTGGGAAGCAGCCGCTTTAGACTGCGGGGGCCATTTTAGAATGCATCCCATTTATCTGAATGCATTTCAAGAAGAAAGCCAGCCCATTGCGGGCAAATGTTCTAATCCCATTTCCCTCCCTGGTGTGCTAGGTTTCTGCCTACAAGGAGACGTATATCCAAGGGAGAATTTAGGGGAGGGAAACAAAAAACAAAAAAGATCCCCCACCTGTGGTCCGAAATGGCACAGTCCATTCTACCAATCCATTCCGCTGCTTATGCAGAGTCAGCCTGAGTCTTGAAAAAGACACGGGGCACAGAGACAGGGATGGGAAGAGAGAAAAAGAGCGCAATCTTAATATGGCAAAAACCCTGAACCAGAAGGCATGCTGTCTGCTGCAGTAGTGCTCCAATTTGGGGGGGGGGGGAAGAAGGAGAGGAGTCCTTAATGAAAGCCACCAGCTCCACCACCACACTCAACTTTAGCCAATCCACAGGTCGCCTTCTAGCCTTCTGGAAATAGTAGCTAAAGGGGCTGACGCAAAAGGGAATTGTGCCCCAGCCCCACTGTAATTTGAGCACCACACCACTGCCTCAGAGTGGGGCAGGTAAAGCCTAACTGGTCCCTCTTAGGAACATTAGGCTAGGGGTGCTTCTTTATAGATCTCCAGTGAGGAGCATGTGACTGCACAGGTATCAGGTGAGTGGCTGTAAAGCCTGCAGCACTTTGCAAATCATCCGCACAGTGCCTTACCTTAGGGTAGCGGGCGAGGTACGGACTCAGAAGGGCCTCAGCCTCTGTAAAATTGTCTTCACCAATCCCTGGTGGGAGCACAGAAAGAGGGGGGTGTAAGCATCTTCCCAAAGGGCACCCTCTCCCCTGATGTCCCTAAGCAGAGCAAGGTCACAATATTTTGCACCACCACGATATTTTGCACCACCAGCTTCTCTCCCATTTGGTAATTTGAAGCTGTTAGGCCAAGTCTAGCGAGCTCATGGCTGAAAGGAAACTTGATCAGAGGACTTTGCAGTTCATACTTAACCACAACACATCTCCAGCCCCAGTTCAGTCAATATTAGAAGGATTTGAATTCTGCACCCTCCCTCCCTCCCTCCTCTCACCCACCTCAGGGACCTCCTTCAGTTCCCCCCAGAAACCAACTTCTGTAATCAGAAGAATTCGCATAGACCCCAATGAAGTGGCATAAGCCAGTCGTGGCAGGAGACGTTGCATCTGAGCAGATACTGAGCCGAAGGACTGACCCTAAGCAGGTCATGGAATTAAAGCCCCCAAGTGAGGAAAAGGACCCCCAGACCCCCAGCCTTACTGTTGCCAACCCAGTTATAGGCCACCATTTTCTATTCTGCTTCCCAAAGGTGGAGAGAAGACTTTACCTAAGACGAAGGTAAGGAAGGTGTAGTAGCAGAGGAGCAACATTGTACAAAGCAAGGCCCGCAGGTTGGCTGTGGTGGCCCCCTGATGCAGCTGCTGCAGGCCGTAATCCTGGTGGGGAAGAAGAAATAAAAATAAGGTGGGGGTTGAGAGAGAGAGTCGGAGGGAACAGCTCTTTGTAGGTAAACGCAGCAAAGATCAGCCATGTGAGAGTTCCATTCAGCACAGGTCTCTGGATGAGCAGACCCGGCTTTACCAGAATGATTCCCCAGGAAATACTCAGCTAATCAAAGAACAAGCTGGTGCAGAGGCCTACTACAAACATATCAGCACCCATCCCAGCATGAGGGACGAAACAGCACACAATAGATAGCCTTAAAGACTATCAGGGCTGTCTCTGAACCAGAAGTAATGGCTTGAGGTGGCAAGTACATAGCCTCCAACATTTCTCCGATGACAATAGGAATGTACTATTCAATGATGATAACAATAATAGATACCGGTAGTTCTGGGTACCTAAAATTTATAGGAACTTATTCATGTATACGACTACAGTGGCAAGAATGTTACTGGGACTTGCACCCAAATGGAAAAAAGCAGAAGTCCCAGCAAAGGAAGAATGGATACAAAAACTTATGGAATACGCAGAAATGGCAAAATTTACCAGAATAATAAGAAATCAAGATAACAAGTTTTTATTATAAAAGAATGGAAATGGTCTATTGAATATTTACAGATAAATTATAAACGGATAAAAACACTGGCAGGATTATTGTAATAACCTGAAGTTTTATAAGAGTGTATATTTAAAGAAGATTATTAAATGAGCAAATTAAGTTACTTTGGATATGCAGAAGATATAAAAAATAAATTTAAGGAACCACAGGAAGAGGGGGAAGGAAGTCAAGTTTTGAAATGTCAATATGATTGTAAAATTAGTGAAATGTATAAAATTAGTGAAATGTATAAACTTGAAAAGTATAAATAAACAAAAAAACTTTTTAAAATGATGATGATGATGATGATATTAATAATTGTGGTGGTGGTGGTGGTGTTTTACTATTTATACCCCACCCATCTCACTGGGTTGCCCCAGCCACTCTGAGCAACTTCCAACATAATATAAAAACATAATAAAACATTAAACATTTTAAAAAATCCTTATACAGGACTGCCTTCAGATGGCTCAGGGGTCAGATAACTCCATATTTCCCAACATTTCTCTGATGAAAATAGGGAGATCAGAAACTGGGACGGCTTCTGTAAATCTGGAACTGTCCCTGGAAAACAGGGGCACTTGGGAGGGTCTTCAGCTGCAGGATTTGGGTGTTATTTGCCAGTCCATCTGATCCAGGTCTTGCAAGTCTTGAGTGTGTACAAGAACTATGAACAGAAAGCATTCTAGATCCAAGTCCTTAGATGTGCCTGTCAGATCACACACGGCTTCAGTGGCACCTCTAAAAACATAGAAAGGTTCAGGTCAGGCCCACCCACTTTGTAGGCTTGGATTAGGCAAGTGAGGTGGCCTCCAGATGTCAGACACCAGCTCCTGTCAATCCCAGCCAGCTAATGGCCAGGGATGGTGGGACTTTTATTTATTTATTTATTTTTAATGATATTTATTGGGAATTTTTTAAAAAAAAATTACACAAGAAAAAGACAAGACAGAAAAAGAAAAAGAAAAAATAAAACCATCATTCTCAAATTCTCCCCTTTCAATACCTTCTTTCTTTGACCTCCTCCTCCTCCCTTTTCTTGTATCCTGATTAATAATAATCGCAGCAAATCCTTTCCATAATTCATAGTTTTCTGTCATTACATTACCTTAATCTATTTTCATCTTATCTTATAGAAAACCTTAAAGTTTAAAACTTAAATCTTATTTTTACCAACTTCTCCTAACCATAACATTCTTACCAAATTCTTTAGACATTTTTACAAGAGCCAAGTAATTTCATTTCAACATTTTTCTAGCATTCATCAATTTTATAGAACAATCCTAATGATAATAAAAAAAAGAAATAAACAATCCAATCTTCATCCAGCATCCCTTCCTCCTGGTCCCGGGTTGGGACTTTTGGTCCAACAATATCTGGTTGGTGTTGTCTACACCAGGGGTGGCCAACTCCCAAGAGACTGCAATCTACTCACAGAGGTAAAAACTGGGCAGTGATCAACCCCCTTTTGGGTTCAGGTCAAAGTTGTTGAGTTTTTTTAGGAAGGAAAGCCCTGTTTTTTAGGGGTTCAGGTCAAAGTTGTTGTTGAGCTTCTTTTTATGAGCTGCAGGGCTAAAATGTCTAGGGGAGCCAAGTTCCTTGGGCTTCTTTGGGAGGAGCCAGTGATCTACCACAGACATCTAGTGATCTACCTGTAGATCACGATCTACCTGTTGGATGTGCCTGGTCTACACCATGGGTAGGCAAACTAAGGCCCGAGGGCCGGATCCGGTCCAATCACCTTCTAAATCCGGCCCACGGACAGTCCGGGAATCAGTTTTTAAATGAGTAGAATGTGTGTTTTTATTTAAAATGCATCTCTGGGTTATTTGTGGGGCATAGGAATTTGTTCATTTTCTTTCTTTTTTTCAAAATATAGTCCGCCGTCCGCCCCCCAAGGTCTGAGGGACAGTGGACTGGCCCCCTGCTGAAAAAGTTTGCTGACCCCTGGTCTACAGTTACATTAGAGGAAGGAAGAAATAATTGCCTTGATCCCTAGAAAAGCCTCTGCACATCTTAAGGGCATATATATATATATATATATATATATATATATATATATATGGGTGCTAGAGCATGCAGAAGGTCCCGTGTCCCGTTGACAGCATCTCCAGGCAAACTGAGCTCAGAAAGCAGGGCTGGGAAAGAGCTTTCTCTGCCCCAGGTCGCAGACAGATGCTCCCCATCAAAGTAGATATACAGAGCTAGATAGGTAAATGACAGCATTTACAGTGGCATCTCGGGTTAAGTACTTAATTCACTCCGGAGGTCCGTTCTTAACCTGAAACTGTTCTTAACCTGAAGCACCACTTTAGGTAATGGGGCCTCCTGCTGCCGCCGTGCTGCCAGAGCTGAGGTACTATTTCTGGGTTAGCAGAGTCTGTAACCTGAAGCGTATGTAACCCGAGATACCACTGTATATCTAGAAATAATCGTGTCCATTAGCAGACCACATTCTGCCTCTTCAAACACACACACAGGCAGGCAGTCGTACCTTGTCCCCTGAAAACCCTGCAAATTCCAGAAGTCTCAGGATCCGGGGTGGGAAAAGGGAGAGCGTCTGTGGAAGGAAGACATTGACATGAATGACAACGGACACACGTGGGGAGAAATCCTCCTCCTAGACTTTGCCTTTCTTCAGCAGTGGAAAGCTCCACTTTTCGAGTGTGGTCCACTTGCAAATGGACACATCAGAAGCAGACAGCGTGGTCCCTTCCTGATGTTATTAGGACTCCCAAGTTCCACCAGCTTGGCCAATGGCCAGGAATGCTGGGAGCTGCAGCCCAGCAACAACTACAGAGAAGCTACTCCCTTCAGAGGGAAGGAGAAGAGAGACAAAAATGACTAACTCCAACGGGCTGCTGCTTGTAACTCAGCTTCTGTCCTTATACCTGCTGGGGAAGAGTGTGCAGACTCACCAAGTTGAAGGCACCAATGCCCAGCGCAACTCCTCCCTCCAGATGGGCGCGACAAGGAGAACTTGATGGCAGCTGATTGGGCTGGATGAAGCTGTTGAGCTCCCTGCAAATGTAAGAAGGTTTAGAAAAGCCCATTGCACCTTCACCTACCAGGAGTGAAGCATGGAACCCAGGCATCCGAGCTCACAGTTTTTCTAACCACTAGACCACACCCACCCTGACCTTGAGTCTCAGAGTTTGAAGATACTTCATTGTTGTGACACGGGATATGAGTGAATAGGAAATGCAATTCCTTCCCACCCGCACCCCTTCCCCACAACATTGCTTTAAGGCAAAGAAGGACTATGTTCCGGATTCAAACATCCAACACACATTTCAGGAATGGTCAGTCTAGAAAATGCTTGTTGAGCAAGGCAGTCATGCCCTGGATGGCCACCGATATTGCTGTCCCACTTTTCCAGAGATGTCCATGACACTTGTGGCCATTTCCATACATTGCTAATCTGGCAAGTAAGTGGGCAAGTGGACATTTCTTTCCTCTCCTCTCAGGTACAGACAGTTTCTCATGTGTAAGCATCCCAAAACTGGGAGTGGTTTCCTGACACTATGTGGGATGCATGCTGGAGCAGTAGCTACATCTCAGACTTTTCTGACACACATTCCTCCGCTGACGTACAACACAAAGATAAATCACATGTTCCAGGCTCAAATGGAGGGGGAAGAGAGAGGGAGGAGGGAGGGAGAGATTGAATATTTCTTACACACACACACATCTAGCAAACCAGCAGAAAAATTCTGGTGCAGGTGCAGGGATTCTGTATCACCTGAATTTCTCTGCATGCGCAGATTGTCCCAGAAACTTCTCCCTTCATGAACCTGGCATGGAATCCAGTTGTCCTGCCCCGTCTTCTTCATCTCAAACCCTTCACTGGTGCTGCTTCTCATTCCCAACTTTGTGCTACCTGCGATTCAATACTGCTCTGCTGTTCCAGCCCTGCCAGCTGTCACCACAACTCACCTGTAGATGAGGTAGCTGCTACGCACCTTGATTCCTCCTTTTATGAAATTCACCATATTTTCATCCTGAAAGAAGAAAAGGAATTTTGAAAAGTCCTCAGCTTGAGGAAGATAACTCAGCTCCTTAAGTCTGATGTGTCTGTGTGATGCCACCGGGACAGCTGAATGCAAGCATCCATTGCAGGTCACTGCTGTAAGGGGAAGGCACAAGCAGTGGGTGCCTGGGCACATTGGTCCCAAGCTTGGCACGGATTGGGAATGGGGAACCTGTGGTCCTCCGGATGTTGTTGGATGACCACTCTGATCATCTCTGACCATTGGGCCAGGCATGCTGACTGGTGCTGCTGGGAGACCAACAGAATCAGGAAGGCTGCAGGGTCCCCATTCCAGGCATGGATAGTGGAAGCTAATCGGAGAACAGGAAGGGGAATTGCTCCATGTTGGCCGGCTCTTCCCTGGCTTCCCCATAAGGTAGCATACAGAATCCTTGCATGCAGTCTGTGGCTTGTGTTACATATGAATCTGTGGATTGGGGCACTAAATATATATTGCAATTAAAGGTGGACCAGAGACATTTGCCTCCTGAAATCCAACCCATCAGAGAAAGGAGGAAGAAAAGTGGCTGTTTACCTGCACAACAAAGTTAACATAGAAGTGTGAGTGGCTGCAATGCTAAATCTCTGCATGCCTCTGACTCCACCTGCTGCAAGACCTCTGTCACTGAGACACCTCCTGCCAAGGGGTCCTGCCCCACCACTTGAAAACTGCTGCCCTGGTGGCCTGTGCCCTGCAGTGGAGAGAAGCTCCCCTTACCTGCAGGAAGGTGAGGGCAGCCCGGTGCAGCAAGCATTCTGCGTAGCACACTTCTGCATGCAGCTCCTCTGCAATGGGGAAAGGAACAGGTTCAGGGAAGACATGTGTCATTCCTAAGCAGGCTTACCATGTCCTCCTCTGTTCATCCCTTAAACATTCACATCCACCCACTGGAAACAGCAGCGCCAAAGAAAAAATACCTTGGATCTCTGTCCTGCGCACGTCTGGAAGCCTGGACTATTTACTTATTTGCAATACATCAGCCAATAATGAAGATTCCCTGCCCCAAAAGTCAGGGGGAACCTCCAGACATTGCACATCTTATATGTATTCCTTTCCGCAAGCTACCCTGTGCCTACATCAAGACGAGCCAGAGTAGGTACTATAAGGATTTCTGTACTGGATCCAAGATCCATATACAGTGGTACCTCTGGTTGCGAACGGAATCCGTTCCGGAGGCCCGTTTGCAACATGAAAAGAATGCAACCCGCAGTGGCGTGTCTGCGCACGTGCAGGTTGTGATTTGCCGCTTCTGTGCATGCGTGTGATGTCATTTTGCACTTCTGCGCATGCGTGAGCGGCGAAACCCAGAAGTAACCCTTCCCGGTACTTCCAGGTCACCGCGGGACATAACCTGAAAGAACGTAACATGAAGCAGACGTAACATGAGGTATGACTGTAGTCCAACCTGCCTCCAGATGTCTCTGGCTAGTGCACAAACATTAGCTTTCCCCACCCGTCATAGACCGAAGAAAAAATGCAGTGGTCTTGACCCCCACAACCGGGCCACTAACTCTTCTCACCTTCAGTACAGGAATCTCCGCCTAGCCGACTGGAGAAGGATCCGGTCACTGTGCTTTTCCTCCGAAACCTACCAGAGGAACCCCAAAAGAGATGCATAGTTAGGTTCCACTTCCTCCATCCCAACCCCCAGAGAATGCAAGCTGGGCATCCTCTTTGGGCTGTCAGCACCAACACCTCTCCCCTCCCCTCCCCTGAGCCTAGGCCCACCCAACGACTCCCATCTACCCCTGAAGACCCATTTTCAAATTGAGGAAGAGAATGTTGCTTAAAGAAACAACTCAGAAGGGTATGAGACTTCCTGCTCCCCTATGAGCAGCTGGCCTAGTAGTATTGAATCCCGACTTGGATCAGGAGGAGAAGACAAAATACAGCGGTACCTTGCTTCTCGAACGGCTTAGTTGTCAAACAAATCGGCTCCCGAAGTAAGTGCTCCGGTTTGCGAACATTTTTCGGAAGCCAAATGTCCGACGCGGCTTCTGCCTGAGTGCAGGCAGGGCCATAGCTAGAGGGTGGTGAGGCGGGCCCCCGCCAGGGGCGCAGGCAATGTAGGGGCGCAAAACCGGCTAAAAAAATGTCCATAAATATAGGTAAAGGTAAAGAGACCCCTGACCATTAGGTCCAGTCGTGGCCGACTCTGGGGTTGTGGCGCTCATCTCGCTTTACTGGCCAAGGGAGCAGGCGTACAACATCCGGGTTATGTGGCCAGCATGACTAAGCCACTTCTGGCGAACCAGAGCAGCGCACAGAAATGCCGTTTACCTTCCCGCCGGAGTGGTACCTATTTATCTACTTGCACTTTGAGGTGCTTTCAAACTGTTAGGTTGGCAGGAGCAGGGACCGAGCAACGGGAGCTCACCCCGTTGCGGGGATTCAAACCACCGACCTACTGATCGGCAAGTCCTAGGCTCTGTGGTTTAACCCACAGCGCCACCCGCGTCCAGTCCATAAATATAAATATTGATTATTGCCTCATAAGAAATGGTTTTAAATAGAGGGTGAATTGAATGGGTGGGAGGGATTAGAAGAGAGGCGGAAAGAAGAGCTAATTTGTCCGTGGCTAGGGGGCACAATCTGGACAGTTCTGCCAGGGGCGCAGGATCACCTAGCTACAGCTCTGAGTGCAGGAAGCACCTGCAGCCAATCAGAAGCCACGGCTTGGTTTTCGAATGGTTTCTGGAGTCAAACGGACTCCCAGAATGGATTAAGTTCAAGAACCAAGGTACCACTGTACCCACTCACAAGTGATGCAGCCAGGTGAGGTTTTGGGCGAAAGAACTCCCCATTTAGAAGCTACTTCCATTGCCCTAACATGACCAGACACCCCTTCAGAGGTGCCCCATGCGAAGTCTACAGAAACAGGCCTCATTCCCCACCCCAAGAGCCCCCCCCCCCCGGTAGTCCCCACCTCTGGCAGATTTCTTGTGCCTCTTTCATTGTGTGTCCAGCATGAACAATGTCGTCGTGCTCAAAGGTCATCATGGCTTGCATTTCCAGAATGGTGGCATAGATTAAGGCATGATACATGCTCTCTTTGGCCCTGTCAAAAGGGATCAAAAAAAGGAAGCAGGTGTAGTTGCAGGCAATATAGTTTTTTTAATTAATGATGGCAACAGCTAGGGAGGGTTGTATTGTTTCCTCCATGTTTCTCATATTTGCCCACAAAAGGATGTGGGACAGGGGGGAGAGACATTTGAATTTCACCCTTATGCACCTGAAAATCAATGCCCAGCACTACAAGAAAGAAAGAGATGGTCACATTCCTGATCACAATTCATTAAGTTATAAAAAGGAGAAGGGTCAACACTTGAAGATTTTGGAATGTCCTCGGCCCAACTTAGACTCTGCTGGGGTTGAATCCACATAGCCCAGTTACCTGCTGAGTTGAACCCATGAACCAGGATTCGAACCAGTCTAATTTCTTTGAAGCCACTGCCAGAAATCCACATACTTAACGAAGTTACAAATCAAGCTTTGTGAGAATAATAGCATGCACATAGCAGGCAGGAGGCCCTTCTAAGACAGGGAGAGGCTTGAACAACAATATTCAACGGCATTCCTCTGCTTTTAGGAAAAGCAGAGCTCTCCTTTTCATCTATTTTTCTTCCTCTGCTTTTGCTGGCAAAGACAGGAGCAACCTCCCACACACAGGGAGGGCTTTGGGTTTTGTTCGCATTTCTTTTCCAGCGTGCACAAAAGGTGCAAACCTCCATCTTCTAACTTGCACATGGGTGCTTACCATTAAAGGTATTTGCATACTGCTTTCCTTAAACAAAAAGCAGATTGCGCATGCACACACAAAACATTTAAAGCCCAGCAATGAACTCCACAGATTCGACAGACCTCATTAAATACATATTTCTGTAGCCAACCAATAAAAGTCACATGCCATGGCTGAGGCATTTGTCTCAATTTCCAAAGGTCATGTGAAATTAATATATGGGTTTTGTAACCCCTCCAGAATGCTAAATGGTGGGATGTGCACTGGTACTCCAAGCGCCACCACAAAAGTTGGAGTAAGTGGTTTCTCCCATTTGGGATTATAATTTTTTTGTTTTACATTTGCAGGTAATTTCCAGGTCACTCTCCTCTCCTATACCACATCACTAAACTAGAACTAGACCAGGGCTGGGCGATATCTGGTTTTCAGCATCGTGTGATATATCAACAGCTAAGCATCGCAATATACCAATACAGTGGTACCTTGGGTTAAGTACTTAATTCGTTCCGGAGATCCGTTCTGAAACTGAAACTGTTCTTAACCTGAAGCACCACTTTAGCTAATGGGGCCTCCCGCTGGCACCGCTCTGCCACCACACGATTTCTGTTCTCGTCCTGAAGCAAAGTTCTTAACCCGAGGTAATATTTCTGGGTTAGCGGAGTCTGTAACCTGAAGCGTATGTAACCCGAGGTACCACTGTATATCACAGTGTCTGAAATAAGGATGGAGCTACAGTACATGGAGGCATTGGCTGGCTTCACAGTTTTCCCTGCATCATGATTTTTGCCGACGCCTGCTCTTACGATTCGCTGCTCCCTGCATGAGGTAGCGCAGAGCTACTTCTGTTGTGGTTGTTGTTTATTAAATTTATATACTGCCCTATACCGGAGCGGGGGGAGTCTCAGAGCGGCTTCTAGTCGCCCTCCCTCCAATAGTTGTTGTTCCACTGTGTTTTTTTAAAAAAAAATATTGCTACTATCGCTACTATTATAGATTAGTTCACATCCTTCTTAGCATAACCACACACCGTGTTCCAGCCAGAAGTGACTACAAAGTTCGAAACAATGACAAAGTGCACTAATCATAGAATCATAGAGTTGGAAGAGACCACAAGGGCCATCGAGTCCAACCCCCTGCCAAGCAGGAAACACCATCAGAGCACTCCTGACATATGGTTGTCAAGCCTCTGCTTAAAGACCTCCAAAGAAGGAGACTCCACCACACTCCTTGGCAGCAAATTCCACTGTCAAACAGCTCTTACTGTCAGGAAGTTCTTCCTAATGTTTAGGTGGAATCTTCTTTCTTGTAGTTTGGATCCATTGCTCCATGTCCGCTTCTCTGGAGCAGCAGAAAACAACATTTCTCCCTCCTCTATGTGACATCCTTTTATATATTTGAACATGGCTATCATATCACCCCTTAACCTCCTCTTCTCCAGGCTAAACATGCCCAGCTCCCTTAGCCGTTCCTCATAAGGCATCGTTTCCAGGCCTTTGACCATTTTGGTTGCCCTCCTCTGGACACGTTCCAGTTTGTCAGTGTCCTTCTTGAACTGTGGTGCCCAGAACTGGACACAATACTCCAGGTGAGGTCTGACCAGAGCAGAATACAGTGGCACTATTACTTCCCTTGATCTAGATGCTATACTCCTATTGATGCAGCCCAGAATTGCATTGGCTTTTTTAGCTGCCGCGTCAAATTCTCCTCCAAAGCCACTTGGCCTCACTACCCGTAGACTCCCTTCCTTCCACCCTACCAATTTGTTTCGGTTGCACACCAAGGGCCAGTCAGGTGCTCCAGGGAAGGAGTGCTGGAGGAAGGTTCAACAGCTTTTTGGGGAGGAGAGGGAAGCCCTGGGTCTGATGTGTCCCCCCCCGTCCCCCGCTTTCCACGAAGGTGACTGGATCAGGCCCTTTCCCCACTCACCTGGGTTGCAGCATCTCCAAGCTCTCACTGAACTGGTTTTTCAGGAAGCAGTTCAGTGCTTCTGTGCACTCGGCTAGGGCAGCCTCCAGGGAGCTGCTGCGGAGAAGGAAGGCGCAGAAAGAGAGAGCTCAGTTAGCCTCCCCCGAAATGGCCCATGAGACCTTTGGTAAGATAGTCACAATCCACACATTCAGAACACATTTGAATCACATGGCTTCCCCACCACCACCCCTTGCCAGAAGCCTGGGAACTGTAGTTTGCAAAGCAAGCCAGGAATTGTAGTCCTGTGAAGGGTGAACTACAGTTCCTAGAATTCTTGGGGGGAAGCCATGTGATTTAAGTGTTGGCACGACATACTACTACAGTGGTACCTCGGGTTAAGAACTTAATTCGTTCTGGAGGTCTGTTCTTAACCTGAAACTGTTCTTAACCTGAGGTACCACTTTAGCTAATGGGGGCTCCCGCTGCCGCCGCGCCACTGCCGCCTGATTTCTGTTCTCATCCTGAAGCAAAGTTCTTAACCCGAGGTACTATTTCTGGGTTAGCAGAGTCTGTAACCTGAAGCATCTGTAACCCGAGGTACCACTGTACAGAGAAACATAGTCTAAGTGGGCAGCCCTAAAAGGAGACAATTAATAATAATAATAATAATAATTGTATGCCACCCATCTGACTGGGTCGCCCCAGCCACAATGTATGTCCAAGAGGTCCACAGTTCAAAACCACACTTCACACCAGCAGCTTCAGACAGGCATAGCAGTATGTCATACAAACCCATCAGCCATCCCGTTTTAACTGGGACATCCCAGAATGACAGAAGCCATCCTGGTGTTTGATCGGATTCCGAAATGTCCCATCTTTTAGTCTTGCACAAGAGTACAAAACTCAAAGACACTCGTTTTTGGGTTCCGCACAAGTCAGCCGGCTCATTTTGAAAATGAGAGAAAAATGTGTAGCACCCCCTCTTAGTGGGAGGCTGGAGCTGTGCTCTGTGTGCCCTCTGCCACCTGCATCCCTCCTGAGCACAGTCACCTCTTCCTCTCCAAGGAAGCGGTCCAGCTTCCCTCTCCTTCTGGCCACAGGAAGGACCCCAACGATGGTGCCAGCTGCAGCCTCTGCACTCCAGCTGCCACTGCTGCTCTTGGTGGCCCTCCCAGGGTCCTTGGGAAGGCCCACCTGCTGCTGCCCACCCTGCATGATGCTGCCTTCACCCTCTTGCTGCTGGCCGGGTGGAGGGAGTGCTTCTACCAGGCCACAGCTCCATGGAGCTCAAGTACCAGGTACGGGGGGTTGGGGGGTTGGATGGGGAGGTCCAGAACGCAGCCCCCGATCAGGCGCATTGGGAATGAGGCGGGTGGGCAACTGGCCCTCTTCTTTGTGCTTAGTGCCTGGTGATGGTGGAGGAGAGCAGCAGGTAGACTGCTCCTGATGGTGGGGTTTCCACTAAATGGGTTTTACTTCTGACAAGACCTGCCTAGGAGAGCATTACCAGAGTGACTATTTTTCAGTGTACAGTATAGAGCCATAGATGAGGGTTTTTAAAAAAATGTTTTTAAAGAGAGACGTAAATACCATTTCCTCATCTGACTAATCCTCAGATTAACCCTGTGAGGTATTAGGACAGGGTTCATTGAACTGAGAGGGAAAACAGTGATGGCCTAAGAAAGTCAGAATTTGTCTCGTGCTATCAGGGGAAGGCTTCCTGCTTCCTTCCCTCCCGTTGAGGCTAGAAGGGAAGGGCCTGGTGTTTCTGTTTGTGAAAGCAACAACCTCCCACCCAGCTGACGCACTTTACTCAGCCCTTCCAGCAAGCACAGAGTTACCAAGTTTGAACGCTAAGCAAACACAGGCTTGGCAGGGCCTTTGCCAGCACATCCACCCCACCTTGTTCAAACAGGGCCGAGGACCTGGGTCCTCAGAGGCCAGACATGCCCTGCTAACGCTCCAGATGGTCTTCTGAGGGAGATGGGGCAAGTCCCAGAAATACTGGGTTGGCCACAGGACTATGTCTCTGGTGGTCCCTGCTTCAATCCCTGGCTTATCATAGCAAGCTGCACTGGGCCACCGAACCCAGTTTTATCTACGTGGGCTGATAGCAGCTCTCTAGTATTTAAAGCAGGAGTCTTTTCCTAGAAGGTTCCAGGGATTAAATGTAGGATGCTTTGCTTTCACCACTGAGCCTTTCATCTTCAAGTTAGAGACGTCCAGTTAAAGCAGGACTGGGGAACCAGTGGCCCACCAGATATTGCTGGACTACAACTCCCATCATGCTTGACTATTGGCCACACTGGCTGGAGCTGCTGGGAGCTGGAGTCTAATAACATCTGGAGGGTCACAGGTTCCTCACCCTTAAAGGGTCTCTCAGGCAGAGGGTGCTTGGTGCTATCCTACCAGATACACAACCTGACAGCTGCACCGCCTGCGGCAACTCCAAGGAATCCTGATCGTAAATAACAGGACCTGAGAGAGAGAGATTTGCCTGAGATCTCAGAGAACTTCTGTCCATCACAAAGCCATTCATGAGGAGCCATTGCTCTGAATTGCAAAGTTACAGCTAATATATAGCAAGCAGCATTCGAAATTCGCCAGGCGCATTTTGCACCTGGCTATCGGCCATTTGCGACCAAGTGAAGATGCTCAGGCTCCAGGATGGTGCCTGATGTCTCCACCATCTTGAGATACATGCCTGGGAATCTCCGTTATATTTTATCTGCACAGTCAGAATGAATTTCAGGAACCAAAACATCATATTGAAAAATACAGCTTTGGAGCCGCCTGGCCCCAAAATGGCAACTGGGCATTCCATTTGGCGACTGCAACTGTGGGTTTAAGGAGCCGTTGGACCCCTAGCTTATATAACTGAGTTTCTAACACTGATAGCAATTCAGGAAGATCCTGGCTGAAGTATAGTTGTCACAGTGGCCTGTAACCATTAATGGCCACCTCACACGCTTAACCTGAAGCCATCTCAGCCCAGGCACTAACTCTGCAATGTGGATGTCGCAGCGCAGCTTCCCTTTCATGTCAATCTAATTTGCACACGATTACCCCACAAACCCCACTGAAATAAGAGGGGCTAAAACATAGCAGTCAACTTTTCCCGATAGGAATCCTATTCCGAATAAGGGAATTTCCCTTTTAAAAAGGGAAACGTTGACAGCTATGGCTATAAATGGACCACATAATAATTGGCTTCCTGGATCACACCATTTGGTCCTGCATTTGGGCTCCAGATGTTTGTGTGCCCTCAAGCAAACAAGGCACAGAGGCCTATATCTCCTGGGCTGCTCCTGTCCTGAGCATCTACTGTTTACTTATGAACCTGCAGGTGGAAATTTACACCTCAGAAACCAAATTCTAAATTATAAAATGCAAAGTTCAGATTTCAGACTTGGACACCTTCATTTTAAGAAGTTCTGCTTTGGATGCAGATGGGAGGGAACACCGAAGAGAGGTTTTTGAAAAGTCAAATATCCCATCGCTCTGAGTTTCGACCCTCAGTATTCCCAGGAAATACTGCAGGCAGCTGGAGGCTCTTTCTTTCTAAGGAACGAAACCGCATGCAAGATCATCCACAACTAAATCAGGTCCCAGTTGCAGAGGTGGTCAGCCCTCTCGACATATCAGACCCATCATCCCTGACCACTGGGCTCCACTGGCTGCGGCCGACACGAGAGTTCAAGATGCTGCCCCCAACCCGGTTTGAGAACTTCCAGATTCAAAATCCACGCCACAAAATCCTGCTTTATGCTCCACGCGTTCAGAGGTGTGCTTTGTCGTGGGTCAATGTGCGTAGCCTTTCTGCTCAATTAGGGTCACTCACAAGGACTCGCCTTCCCCCTAACCCTACACTTGCTGCCCTGGGAAACATAAGGGAGACAAAGGGCGGGGGGGCAGGGGGTGGTTGAAAATAACTGGTGGCAAAGAAGAGGAGATAAGTGAGAAGCCCCAGCACGAGGGGACTGGACCAGACGGGCCTTTGTCAGGAGGCCTTGGGGAGAACCTCATCCAGGAGTATCAGGACTCCAGGGACATCCTGCATCTCCCATCTCTTCCCCCCCCCCTGCAAAAAACCCTTCCATTTGTTAAGCGCTGTCTTATGCCCACCCCCACCCCTGCTGAAACCCAGGGACCCTGCCTTGGTCTCCCTCTTCCACTCCTTGTTGAAAGCACATGCCCCCCCCCCCATTTTTTAGCCCAAAGAGGGGGGGGGACATCCCTCTTTGCTGGATCAACCGCCCCCCCTCCAGCCCTCTGCCTTGGAGAGAGACTGCATTGCAGTGCCCCCGAGTCAGAGCCCTAAAAGTCTCCTCCGCCTAGGAAGCAGGGGTTTTTTTGGGGGGGGGGGAGCGGGAAGGAAGGAAATAAGGAAGGAAAGGAGGAGAGATGGAGCCGCTTTCCGTCCGGCAGCGAGGAGGGCTGCCGGTTTCCCTGCCTCGCTCACCTCCTTACCTGCTGCTGCTGCTGCCGCCGCCGCCGCCGCCGCCTTCCAGAGCCATGCCGGGAGAGCTGCCAGGCCGGGAGCAGGAGTCGCACTCGCAGCCCCTTCAGGAATGCCAGGCGACACGCAGGCGAAGCGGCCGGGCTCGGCCGGGCTCCGCCCTGCAGGTGGCTCCCTCCCATCCCCTACCTGGGCTGCGGAGCACAGGTGACAACTCCGCCCTCCCCTTCCTGCCACCCGGACCGTGCCGGATTCTCGCCTCCCCCAGCTCGGCATCGCCTCGTCCAAGAGGTCTGGACTAAAAGCAGGCAGGCAAAAGTCACAGCCATGCATATAATGTATATATGTATGTATATACATACCTCCCCCAAACCAGACAGCTTTTCGTGTCTCTTTTCTCGCTTTCCCTGGAAGGGCTCCTGCAGATATTCGACAGGTGCGCCTGTGCCAGCTGTTCCTTCTCATTGTTTTAAGACACAGATGGAGAGAGGGGAAAGGAAGAAGGGTCTACTGAAAAGGTGCTCAGCGTTGGGCATCCATGTACAAAACTTACGAAACAACTCACCAACTTTTGTTATGGAAAATCACAAGCACCCCTTGCCAGACTGTTGCTTGTTGTTGTTGTTTAGTCGTTTAGTCATATCCGACTCTTCATGACTCCATGGCCCAGAGCACGCCAGGCCCTCCTGTCTTCCACTGCCTCCTGCAGTTTGGTCAAACTCATGTTAGTAGCTTCAAGAACACTGTCCAACCATCTCGTCCTCTGTCGTCCCCTTCTCCTTGTGCCCTCAATCTTTCCCAACATCAGGGTCTTTTACAGGACGTCTTCTCTTCTCATGAGGTGGCCAAGTACTGGAGCCTCAGCTTCAGGATCTGTCCTTCCAGTGAGCACTCAGGGCTGATTTCCTTAAGAATGGATAGGTTTGATCTTCTTGCAGTCCATGGGACTCTCAAGAGTCTCCACCAGCACCATAATTCAAAAGGCTCAGTTCTTCAGCGATCAGCCTTCTTTATGGTCCAGCTCTCACTTCCATACTATTCACTACTGGGAAAACCATAGCTTTAACTATACGGACCTTTGTTGGCAAGGTGATTGTTGCTTAGGGTCTAGCAACATTTTAAGCATGTTCCAAGCACCCCGGGTATATGCATTTATCCTGGTGGTATAGCCTTTACAACAGTCCTGGAAAATAAGGTCTATATTATCCCCCTTTCGCAGTTGGCAAGCCTGAGTGTGAGAAAATAGTATCCACCCACCTATCCAGCTTCTCCTTAATCACTTTCCGATCCCAGACTGGGTTACAAAAAGAAAAAGCATATACACAAGAGTAAAATCACAGCGGTCAGCCTATGATTTGGAATACGTTCCACTGCCAGCAATACTACAGTCACAGTATTCAGCTCATAACTGATCGGTTCTCAGTAAAAGCCATGAGATCGACTGTTGTTGCATTGGGTTCAGAAAACGGCCAATGACAGTGCCAGCTGAATCTCAGAAGCAAAGGCCTCATCACTTCCCCAACTCTGGAACCCTCCAATACCTTATTTTAAGCATTACAATGTACTAATGTTCCAACAATAGGGGATTTTCCTGTTTTAGGGAACACTTTTGCCTACACCCAAATTGTCTTCTCCTTTTTACCACCAGTTCCATCTGTATGAAGGCATTTGCCACTCCAAAACAGCTGCACTATGGTCATTTCCAGACAACTTGTTTCCTGAGCATTTCCCTTGATTCTGTTGGGAGGTTAGATGATATTGGCTGCTTCTTGAGCATTCATTCTGATTTGTTTGCTGGTAGGTTAGTTCCCTGTCACTTTCCTTACTGCAAACGTTTAGCTTTATTTATTATTTTTGCAGGTGGAGTGAGGCATTGTTGCCAAGAGCACTGAAAACAACTTTAATGGTGCATCCTGAATTTGCCAATATGTGATTGAATCCCACTCAAAAATAATGACAGTGTGGAGAAGCACTCTTAGTGGTCTAAGAGTGACCCTTATTGCATTGCCACACTGCAAGAGCCCCTGGGTGATATATAGCTTCTCTGTCACTTCTCTAGATAAACAGCTTGTCCAACCAGGACAGCTGTACTGTAGCAACCATTATTTCTGTTGGGGAATCTCAGACAGCCCTTTCTCGGAGCATAGAAAGTTCCCAGGTGAGGGGAGCAGAAAACAAGAGCATCATACTCACACTTCCACAGGGTCACATACTGATATGTTATGCTATTGATGAGATTTCCATTAAACAATTAGCCTTCTTACACAACCACAGCAGTTCCTATTAGAGAGACTTGAGCAAAGACAACCAAAAGCAAGATGGGAACACAGAAAGGTGGGTGGAGGTGCAAAGCTACAGATCTGATTGGTATGGAGGCTATTTGCATTGCTAATGGTTTGTCTTGTTTGGGAAAGAGAAGCCTTTCTGCATTTTTCAAGAAGGTTCTAATTTTGGTTAGGTAAAAGGTGGGGGGGCAGACTTTGTGTGTTTGGATTTACAGTAGTTGATTCCTTCATGACAGATCTCCTAGAATCATAGAATAGTCGAGTGGGAAGGATAGTAGAGCCATATACAATGCAGGAACCACAGCTATGGAAACTGCAACTGTTTAGCCTTGGTTAGCGCCAAAAGAAATATCAGCCTCAAAAACTTTAATTGCTTCCTTGAGATGAATTTCAGGAATAGAAAGAATCCCTTCATTCGCTATCTGCCCTAAAGAACAGGGTAGCTTTATTATTTCCTCTTTCATTGATCTGTTTCTGCACTAAATGTGACCAAACCTGCTTTCTGGAAACGCCCAGAGTCTTGCAGAATGGCCATGTGGTATGGGGAAGTCCACAGGGCAACAGCTATTTTAAGCACCCAGTAAACTTTAAGAACAGCAGTTCTAAGCTCTGTAACGTTGGGCGAATGTCACTTGGCTTTCGAAGCTGTTCTGTGGAGGTACTTGGATGTAAAGGAGTTCAGTAAGCTAGCAGTAGAAAGCTCAAATCACAAGTCACACACAGAAAGCTTCCATTCTTTCTTGCCCCCTAAATAGCAGCTGCACTGGCCAACAAGGGAATGATAAAATTTACAAAGAACCTGTAGCATTAAAAGTCCTTGTTAAGGAAATGCATGAGAATATGAGGTTGAGTAAAATATTCGGGTCCTGATTAGGGATCTTCTGATGCTCTGGAGATATAGGACTTGTGTCTGTGTGCAGTAGCTAGAATCCTAGAGAACTGAAATCTACTCCCCTTTTGTTAAATATTCTCCAGATGTTTAGCTGCTAAAGAAGCCCCCAAATGTTCTCGAGGTATTTTATACCTGCGTACCTGACAGCCAGTGGCATCTGATTTCAACATTTGATAACTGCAATTGATACTTTGAAATATTTGATAGCTGGCAAGCAATGGGTTTTAGTACTGGAGTGTACTAGTGTTTGATTTTTTAAAGGTAAAGGGTGGTCTAAACCACTGAGCCTCTTGGGCTTGCCGATCAGAAGGTCAGCAGTTCAAATCCACAATATGGGGTGAGTTCCCGTTCCTCTGTCCCAGCTTCTGCCAACCTAGCAGTTTGAAAGCACACCAGTGCAAGTAGAGAAATAGGTACCGCTGCAGCAGGAAGGTAAACAGCGTTTCCATGTGCTCTGGCTTCCGTCACAGTGTCCCGTTGCTCCAGAAACGGTTTAGTCATGCTGGCCACATGACCTGTAAAGCTGTCTGTGGACAAGCACCGGCTCCCTCAGCCTGAAGCAAGATGAGCACTGCACCCCTTAGTCACCTTTGGCTGGACTTAACCATCTAGGGATCCTTTACCTTTTACCTTATTTAAAAAGCACTCTACTTTCAAAATAGCATATCCCCAGAAAAAATCTCCCACATTAACATCTGCACTGCAGAGGATTTGAGGGGGGTGGTATGTGCACTCAATTTGCTTGGGCCAATGCTGGTCCTTTCCACTGCCTATTGGTAAACTGAGGATTTGCATAAGAATATACCTAATAAGTGCATGGTTGCACATTGCAAAGGAAGAACAATATGAGTGGCTACATTGTCTTCAGCTGTTGCTCTAAATGGGAAACCACAATAAGACTCCCAGAGAAGCCAAGGTTCCCCAGAAGAGATAATCTGAAAGCCAGAGATCTAGCGTAAATATAATATTGTATACGGTAGTTTATAGGCCATAGTACTTATTAGTCCGGGACGCAGGTGGCGCTGTGGGTTAAGCCACAGAGCCTAGGACTTGTTGATCAGAAGGTCGGTGGTTCGAATTCCCGCGACGGGGTGAGCTCCAGTTGCTCGGTCCCAGCTCCTGCCAACCTAGCAGTTCAAAAGCACATCAAAGTGCAAGTAGATAACTAGGTACCGCTCTGGCGGGAAGGTAAACGGCGTTTCCGTGCACTGCTCTGGTTCGCCAGAAGCGGCTTAGTCATGCTGGCCACATGACCCGGAAGCTGTACACTGGCTCCCTCGGCCAATAAAGCGAGATGAGCGCCGCAACCCCAGAGTCGGCCACGGCTGGACCTAATGGTCAGGGGTCCCTTTACCTTTACTTACTTATTAGTCAGTATTTATAGCTGACATGCACCTCTTTTAAATCACAAAGAAAGCAAAACACATACCTGAATTTTGCTTTAAAACTCATGAAAAACTGAATTGTGAAATTAGAAAATTATTTGCAGATGTTCAGAGTTTGCATGTTTGCTTCAGCTCCGTGGCTGCAACCCAGAATCAGCCGACTCCACCCTGAACTGAAGAGATCCTACAACTCTCAAGCAACTTCAAGAGCTCTGTGAGAAAGATGCTGCCACTAAATAGGCACATTTCAGCTGCCTTTATTCTTCCCTTCCGTTCATGCATAAAACCTTCCTTGTCAACAACTAGGCCTCTGTCTTTCCCAAGGTCTTCAAGCACAATCAGACATTAAAAACAAAACAAACAGCGTCTTTGCCTAGAAATGAAGCAGCATATGGTGCAAAACAGGTGGCAAGTCGTGTGCACCTCAGAGAAGTGGATTTAATTCCAACATTTGGATTTAAGTGAGATGCTAACTGGCATTACCTCAGGGGTTGGTAGCTAAATTGCTTCCAGGCTCCTGCCATGGCATTTCCACAGGTGCCAAGGGCCCAGTTGTTTGATCCTCACAGTGGCAATCTGGCCTCTCAGCTCCCAACACCAGCTGTGCCTCAAGAGGTGGTTGCTTAGCAACCAACAAAGCAAGGACTTGCCGCTGCGACAGTATTCCAGGGGTGTGCCTCCTCCTGCTAGCCATCCCTGGGGGAGCTGTGCCAGGGGAAGGCCTGCCTCTTCTGTCAATCATCTACTTGGTTTGCCAGCAGACACCAAGATCTCTGGGAGAAGCCTGTCCCGTAGTCTCCTGCAGAGCTATTGAAGGGCTGTTGAAAACTGAGGCATGGAAGGAAATTACAGCAAAAGCCCTCCTCGTTTCAAATAAGACCTGGAGTTTTGGGCTGATACTGCAAGCACATACCATGAAGAAACCCTGGTCTTGCCCTTTTACCGGGTTCCAGACCAGCTGACTTTCTGACAGAGCCCCACATTTTTTCATTCCACCCTCCAACACGTTTGGCATGTCATAAAGGTAAAAGTAAAGATAAAGGACCCCTGACGGTTTAGTCCAGTCACAGACGACTCTGGGGTTGCGGCGCTCATCTCGCTTTACTGACCGAGGGAGCCAGCGTTTGTCCACAGACAGTTTTTCCGGGTCATGGGGCCAGCATGACTAAGCCACTTCTGGCACAATGGAACACCAAAACCAGAGCAGCGCACGGAAACGCCGTTTACCTTCCCACCGTTTACCTATTTATCTACTTGCAGTGGTGTGCTTTTGAACTGCTAGGTTGGAAGGAGCTGGGACCAATCAACAGGAGCTCACCCCCCCAATCGCTTTTCATAGCACTCAGCAAATTTTTATGATACGATAATCTTTATTGCAGAACAATGAAGTTGAAAAATCTACATCAGACATTCAAAAACCCACAAGCCTGCTATCCCAGCTATCCCAGCCTTGTCAGCCCTTAAAAACTCTTGATACCCCATAATTGAATACAATATACTCACATAAAGACTACCTTACACTGCGTTTAAAACCAAAATTGCATTTGGATAGAAACTGTTTCTCATGAGGCTAGTCCTAGTCTTTATAACCCTGTACCTTCTTCCAGAAGGCAGAAGCTGAAAGAGATCATTTCCGGGGTGCGCACTATCTCTGCAGCTTTCTTATGGCACCTGGAAGCACAGATATCATCCAAGGTGGGAAGAGTGCACCCAATTATTCTCTCCACAGTCTTTACAACCCTGGACAGCATTGCTTTGCCCCTGACCGTGCAGCTCCCAAACCACACACACAGACCATAAGTTAATACACTTTCCACAGTACAATGGTAAAATGCCATCAATAGGTACTTTGAGAGGTTATTTTTCTGGAAGATTCTCAGAAAATATAACCTCTGCTGTGCTCTCTTCATCAGGTCTTTGCTGTTTTCTCCCCAGGTTAGGTCATCTCTCAACTCCATTCCCAGAAATCGAAACATTGAGACCTGTTCCTCAGCACAGCAAAGTTTTGCCTCTGCCAGGTTGCTCACCTCGCTCTTTCACCATCTCCCTATTTACAAAGCAGCCTGGAGGCTTTGATTGACAGCCCCCACTTGAAGGGGCTGTGCCCTTTTATAAAGCTCCCCCCACCTGTACTTAGCTGTGATATGCCAAAGAGGGGAACAGGTCCTGGGGACAGGCTGGAGCCTACAGCAGCTTCTTCTTGGTCACTGTGTCTTGAGGTCCAGGGAAATCTTGTGGACCTCAGATTATGAATGCAAAGGCTGTTCTTGCCAAGACTTTGTTTTAAAGCTGACGCAAGAAACACCAAACTGGTGGCATTTATGTGCCAATGAACTACAGACAACTCTTAAAAGGACACTTGCTTTTTAAATCCTAGCAGAAGCTTCCCCAGCAGCTATTCTACACTGTTCTAAACCATTTTTTAAATAATTCAGTATTGAAATCCATTGCAAAAAAACCACCACCAAATTAAGATAACACAATTTTAAAGGGGGTGGGGGGCGGGGGGCGGGGGGCACAAAAACCTTTCAGCATCACAGCAAGAGTAATCAGTAATTGTTTTAAGGATAAATGGGGGAGGGGATTTCTTGGAGATGCAACAAAAAACATTTGGGCATTGACAAAAGCCTACGGGAGTAGTCTGGGTTTTTTTTAATTAAAAAAGTGGTGTTTTTTTAGAAGCAGGGAATAGTGGGGCTGGGGTGGGGACAACACAGTGGGAGACCCAAAGGACTGGTCATTAAAAAAACCCCAACTAATTAAAAAAAACTATTTTTTAAAGTAGCAAATTGGAGGTGGGGTCATAGAGACTACAAACCTCCCATCTGGGGGGCAGAAACATAAAATCCAGATCTCCCCCCCCCCCCATCCTGTGGCTTGACTAGTGCCACCAATTATGGCTAGAGCCCACCTGTCTTTTTGCCCCCTGTTGTATAAAGGTTGGTGCAATGAGGCAAAAGCGTATGCTCAATGCGCCCAAAAAAGAGAGAGACATATGCAAATACACTTCTTTTTGTGAACCTGTTCTATTTTCACACTTGGTTAGCTGCAAAATTAAGCAACTGGAAAACTCCTTCTTTCTGGCAAGTAGCAAGGCAATGACAGGGCAAATGTCAGGTAGGGAAAAAGCAGTGCTGGGAGATAACAACCAATACTGCAACCCCATCCTTGGAAAGCACTGTGGCCTCTTGCAAACTGATATGACCCTGAAAACAGGAAGTGTAATTATTTAAGATACGGCGAGGCCCTCCCATGTTTACACGGTGCACACCCGTTATATGCACACATATACACACACACACAATGTTTTTGCTGGATCTTCCTTCCATCAGCGAAGCTCTAGCATCTGCCCTTGTATTTGAATCATGCTGCAATCCCCTGTAGGTTAAAACTACGAAGCTGGAGTCAAATTCAGAAAACAGAACCCAGGCACTGGCAAATAATGACACCCCCGATACAGAAGAGAGCAGATGGCAGGAGGGGAGAGGAAGCTGCTGCTTCTAAGCATTAATCTCAAGTAATTAGCCAATTTAGGGAGAGGCAGCCAAAAGACAGCTGATGTGTGTGGGCGCGCATGCAAACGCCTCTCCCTCTCTCACACACACATGCACACAGTCACCAAACGCGGAGCAGAAATGAGCAAGTTGGACCTGAATTGCTACTCACAGGACACCTGCCATTAATCACCATCTTGCTTGGAGGGATCAGAGCCTTCCCCCCCCCAACAGAATCCAGTTCCCAGCCAAGTTTCTCTGGCCATCGAGAACACCCATTTCAACGAGCCAACCGTGCACATGGCACATGGAAGAGGCCAGGAGCCTGGAGGAGCAGACAGAGGAGAGTCCAGACTGACGGGAGCAAGCCCTGTGTTACTGAGCAAAGGCCCCAGCTGGTGTCAACCGGAGGGAGCATTATGTGGGCACATGGCCACCCAAGTGCTTGGGGGGGAAACGCCTCCAAAGGTCAAGGAGGCATAACATTACATACCAGATGAGTTGGGCCCTTCTTGCTCTGGAGAACTAGAAATGAATACTGAAACTTCTGGACCTGCGAAAAGGCTTAAGACAGGCTGAGCTGGTCAGCTGCAAGAACTTGGACCACAAGCGTAGCTTGGCTCAGTCCTGGACTTGCCTGGTTCAAGGAAGCCTGTCTCTTCCTTTCGCCTCAGTTTCCCTCGCACAGAGAAACACAAGACCTAACAAATAAATTATTAGCTGCCCAAAACTTGGTAAAAGATGCTACTTTCTAGCCTACTTAGCCAGTATCCTTTCAAGAACTATTTTGAACATGTCAGCAGCCCTCTTCTTCTGTCTTCTTGGGACTTCTTGTGTTGCCTGGAGCTCTTACCAGTCAGACCCATTCCATTTGGAAATTAAAAAACAAGACACATTCACTGAAGGAGATCCATGTCCCTTTCCTGCCACCGAGTGGCTTCGAGAGCTTGTTTATTTCATATTCTGTCCATAGTGCCCACAATCGTGCTCCATCAGATACAGAGAAGAAGCAGATCTCTTCATGGTGACACCCACCCAAAACTTGGAAGGATAAAATGTCCCATGTTTTCAGCTGGGGGCACAACTGGCAGGTCGCCCAAACAGAACTGCAATTAACTCATTAACTAATTTCCCAAAAGGGGCCTGGTTGGTGGTCTTTGCTCTTTTCAGACTTAGCAAGTAAAGCTGGTCAAACTTTTTTTTTTTTGCAAGCCATTTCTCCTCTAGTTCTTTCCACCCATCTCTGATAAAATACACAGTTGCAGTTTCTCTAACCAAGACCTCAGCATCTGAGAGAATGTGCTTAAATCAAATTGCTGTGTCAAGCAGCTGAACTGTTAAATGTGATCACATTTTGCAAATTAAGCAGTGTTGTGTATTGCTTGCTTATTTTGCATACAGTGGTACCTCGCATTAAGAACTTAATTCGTTCTGGAGGTCTGTCTTTAACCTGAAACTGTTCTTAACCTGAGGTACCACTTTAGCTAATGGGGCCTCCTCCTGCTGCCACCGCACTGCCGCGCCACGATTTCTGTTCTCATCCTGAGGTAAAGTTCTTAACCCAAGGTACTACTTCCGGGTTAGCGGAGTCTGTAACCTGAAGCGTTTGTAACCTGAAGCGTTTGTAACCCGAAATATCACTGTAATTGATTCTGCTTTTTTCAGCACCCAAGTTCCACTCCTGGGCAACACACTCAGTACCTTTTCAGTCCATCCTAGGAGTCAACTGCTGCTGCTCTGAATAGAGCCATAAATCAACAGTGACATCATTCTTTAGCTCCCACTTCTAAAAAAGTTTTCCATGCCACCTCAATCATCAGCTTTTTGGTTTGCTTACTACCCAAAGATACCTTGATGCTGTCTGAATGCCTAAGCCAAATAACAAGGTCAAGTGGAACAGCCATCTCAGGAAGCTTTTAAACAGGGTTTAGAGTGGTACCTTGGTTCTCGAACTTAATGCATTCCAGGAGTCCATTTGACTCCCGAAACCGTTCAAAAACCAAGGCCCGGCTTCCAAATGGCTGCAGGAGCTTCCTGCACTCAGTCGGAAGACGTGTCAGACGTTCAGCTTCCAAAAAACGTTTGCAAACCGGAACACTCATTCCAGATTTGCGGCATTCAGGAGCCAATTTGTTCGGAAGCCAAGCCATTCAAGTACCAAATATCATTGTATTCCAGTGGAGAAAAGCAACTTTGCTTATCAAATCAGGAGAACCTACACTCTTTGCCCTTACCTACAGCCATGTTTATAACCACTGGATACTCGCTTTCAGGCTTGAGAACCAGAAATTCCCCTTTCCTCCATGTCTCCCCTGCCTCTCCCCCCCCCCCAAAAAAATCACATTGGTTTTACTTATCCAGTACATATTGCACACTGTCAGTCATAGCCACAGAACAATATCACACAATTTAGCAGTAATTTATGGCTTCGGAATTTATTTTTGAGGCATAGAGGCAATACTCCTGATCCCTCTGCAGTGGGCATGTGCTGAGGAAAGAGTGGGACTCGAGACAGGATTGCTATGAGGGTAGAGGGGGAAGGCAGTAGTCAATTTCATGGTTCATCGAAGAAAACGGGGGTTTAGACAGGTGATACTGACAGTTTTATTGATGTTCAAACCAGCAACAATTTTGACCAACATTCCTATGATAAGGTGAAGGATGAGCTAAACTGGAGGAAACTCTGCAGTTCTGTGCCTGTGCATCTCAAGTTCAAGGTCAATTTCACTGGATATTTGAGACTGAAGCCAAGTACCAGATCAGCTTCCTGGTGAGATCAATCAGGATATGTTCAAGTGCAGTCAGTTCAAACTCAAGCTTCAAAAAGGTACATCAAAGCAGAATTTTCCTTTTTACATTTTCCTATAAAGATTTGCGAAAATATGTCAATTTGATATTTCCCACCAAATTAAAAAAGCAAAGCGCCCCCCCCCCAACGTTTAACAAAGAGATTCTGTATCCCCCCAATACTAATGGGTTTCCTTTAAGGGGGGAAAAAGTCCTTAAAATGCAAGAATCTTCCAAACAACAGGTAAATCAAGTTAATACTAGAAAATATTAATTTCCTTAAAACTTCCACAACACAGAAAATGTTAAAAATGGAATTCATTCAATGGACACAAGTGCCAAAAAGCCGCTTTTAAAAGACTCGCGTTTCAAGATGTTAATGTTAAAACAATTCGAAATCAAACTCTGCTGAGCAATGTGTTACATGAGTGATGAGCCCTGCTTAGGCAAGTCTGGGGAAGCGAGACGGCAAAGGCAGTCCAGCCACTTCTCCAATTCTGCAGAGTAGCCATGGGAAGTGGGATAAACTCAAACAGTCAAAGGGCCCCAAGGTAGGAAACCTGCTGTATCAAAGGGCAACTGTTCACCAGGCCCCAGTTTCCAGTGCTACTTCTGAGAATTAATTTAAGAAGAGTGCCAAAGAGCTGCAGTTACATGGTGGGTGGCTGCTTAGCAGAGGAGGATGAAAGGTAATACCAGGGCTGGGAAAGGGGATTTATGTGCAACATTACAAAGTATTCCTCCATCGTGGCACAGCCTCTTCAGTGCAAGCACAGCTATCAAAAAGATCATCAGAAGGCAGGTCACCCACCTAGTGCAAGCAGCTCTCTGGAACAGGGATGAAGCACTGAACTTCTTTCAAAGGCCAGTGGAAAGGGAAGGGAATAATATTACTGACAGAATTAGCTGATGAGCCCAGACGCATTTAGGCCTTGTAGCACTGTGCATTGGTGAGGGGAGGGAGGGGGGAGGGATTTGCAAACAAAAGAGCAATCTGTTTGCACACACGCAATCAGCTCAGATGGGAGGAGGTCCAATCGAACCCATCTGCCATGTCAACCTTTCCCTGAACATCCTGCTTGCCGGTCCAAGGACTGTCGTGGGATGCAGCTGGGCTCAAATGCAGCCCTTGTTTTTTGGGGAGGGAAAGAGGAGAAGGTGCGTTAGTTCTGCTTTTTCCCCAGCTGCCCAGTTTCCAAGGTAGAGTATTTTCCTCCAGCCAGCAAAATTGCCTGGGACATTCTAAAATCATACCATTCCCCCATATCCCAATACGTGCCCCTTTAAATAAACGAATATTTATATAGAGAATTTTATATAAAACTCTTTTCTTTTATCACTCGTCATCAAAGTTCTGACTCAGCAGGAAGTTGGCCGCCAGATTCTCATTCTTCTCACAAGCAAAGTAGGCCTGGATCACCAGGCTCTCAGGGAAGCCCAAGGCCTTTAACTAAGGGTGGGGAAGGGAGAGAGAGAGAGAGAGAGAGAGAAAGAGGAAAGGAAGGAAAAAAGTTAGAAACGCTCTGATTGGCAACACTGTGCGTCCTACAATCTCACCTTTCCTGTAAGGAGCCAACTGCTGCCAATGATGATGATGATGATGATGATGATACACAGACCCCCTTATGGGAGATCCCAACATGCTTATCCTGTGTTGGGTCAGGTCTGGGCAAGGCAAGTACCAAAATAAGGACCATGGCACTCTACAGAATGGTTCACCACAGGAGCGGAGTAGGCAGACATCATTAGTAGGGTTAGCGTAATTATCAGTTCGGCTGCAAAAAAGGCTTGTTCTTGTGTTGTCACCCTCCGGACCTTTCATGGAGGAGGCACACGAAGAAGGGCCTCAGATGATCTCAGGGTCCAGGCAGGTTCATATGCTCCCATTCTGTGGTATGCCCTTCCTCTTCAGTTGCCTCACACATAAGATATATATATTTGCTCAGGCTTTCCCTGGCCCTTAAGACTGGACCTTGCTATTACTGAACTCTTGTTTTTATAATACAGCTTTACAGGTTCTTGTTTTTCTCTCTGCTTTCGTGATACTGTTTTATTGTTTATTTGTTTGTACACCACTTAAAGATTTTAACATATTAAGCAGTTTAGAAATGTTTGGGGCTTTTTTAGAATCAACAAATATTTCAGTACGGAAAACTTGCTTGTTTGGTGCAGAACTGGCTTATGCGTAACCATGGTTCTATAGCCTTAGAGAAAGACAAAAGCGAATGAAGCAAAACCCCATGTTCAGAGCTCACATGCCAATCAGCTTATTGCAAGGCTGCTTGCACTTCCTGCCCTAAATAAAGCTCCTGTGCTGCCCTCAGACTCTATTGCGGGGCTGACTAACCTGTGAGCCCTGAGGGAGTAGTTTCCAGCATCGCTGCCCAGTGGCCATGCTGGAGGTGGCTGGTGGGAGCTGGAATCCAACATTATCTGGAGGTCCACAGGTCAGCCAGCCTAGCTCTAGTCCACACAGCAAGGTGATGGGGAGTGACTTGTAATACTAGGCAATAACATGAAAGTCCCACCCTTTCCACTGTACCCACCAAGATGTCTCTGTAGCCTACAGGAACTAGCGCAAGACGTAGAGACCACCACCCTGGCCGCTTAACTGTTCTGTATCTCATGAGGGAGCAAATCCTACAGGGAGAAGCTCCAGTACAGAGAGCAAGGGACTTCCCTTCTTGTCCCTGCCCCAGGCCACTGCTCCCCTCTTTTACCCTTTCTATGGCTTCTTTTTCCTGAGGCGTGACTTGGATGTAATTCATCTGAGGGGCTTCCTCCCCAATAGCACCCATCTCTCCTTCAATGTCTGCGATGTCAGGTACTTCACCCAGTGGTTCATTGAGCATCTGAATGAACTGCTCCTGGTGTTGGCTGATTTGCTGGAGGAGGAGGAAGAGAAGAACTTGCTGTTATCAATTAACACATGCCTACACCCTGCGACCCCTCGGGGCCCCTGGGACAGCAAACCTCACACAAGCACCTCCAAAGGACACCAAACCCTCACAGGAGACCCTCCAATTCGAGGGGAAGAGAGGAGACCTGACCTGCCGTCCTTTTCTCCTACGCTGAAGTCCTCATTCTTATGCCACTGAATTTTCAAGTATGTTGTATTCATAATCCTCCTCCTCTAGTGCCAACAAACACGGCATCCACTGTTAAAGCTTGCCCATATATAATTAAGGCAAAGCAAAGGAAGATGACTGAGCCAGCAGTGATCACCCTAACCCAGGGGTCAGCAAACGTTTTCAGCAGGGGGCTGGTCCACTGTCCCTCAGACCTTGTGGGGGGCCGGACTATATTTTTTTTTGGGGGGGGGGGGAATGAACGAATTCCTATGCCCTACAAATAACCCAGAGATGCATTTTAAGTAAAAGGACACATTCTACTCATGTAAAAACACGCTGATTCCCAGACCATTCGTGGGCCAGAATCTAGAAGGTGATTGGGCCCTGGGCCTTAGTTTGCCTACCCATGCCCTAACCCAAAGCCTAGGGTAGGCAAATCAGGAGAACTGGGAGGAAACTGAGCCATGAGGGTTGGCAGCAACATTTAAAGTAGGAACCCCAGGGAAGCAAACACTCATCTGAGAAGCAGGATCTGGCTGTACAGGTCAATGACACGCAAACAATGCATACAACAGCACAAATGGTGCTGCCTAGCCAGGTTAGCATACCCACTTGGCTCTGTTGTGCCTGCTTTTTCTGCTGAAATACCAAACAACAGCCCGAGAGATGCTACCCATGCTGGCACCAGCGGATCTCAGACCAGTGTAACTTTGACCCATCTGGTTGCTCCAAGGCTATCCCCAACTGACTGAGACAACAAACAAAGCCCGTCCACTCAGTTACCTGCAGCAGCTGAGGGTTCTCCTGGCCTAACTGCTGGAGCAGGGCTGGGAGCAGAGCTGGGTTCTGCTGGATCACCTGACGCATGTTCTGGAACTGGGGCTGGTCTCGCAGAAATTCCAGAGGGTTCTCTCCTGTAGATGCAATGAGTGTTAAAGCCATGCATGCAAGCAGAACAGCAGCAAGTGGGGGAGGGGCTGGGCATGTGCATAGAGAGAGGAGTGCGTATGAAGCCATCAAGGGGCAGCACTCTCCCAACATGCCACTAGCCAATGCACTGCAGCCTAGTTAGGCACAACTCCCCATAGTCCACCGCTCCGGTAAACTCTTTATATGAAAGGCGGGACACACACCTTCTGGTGCCGACTGCTCTTGAGGCTGGCTCTCCTGGATGGAGGCTCTCTCTGGTTCTGGGCTACCTGGGATACCCTGCAAAGTTAGAGAAAGCAAAGTTAACGGAACTTCTTCCAGATCATACACTTTTCAAGATTACATCCACAGCACACTAATGGCTACACTCAAAGACTGATGGTGTATGGGAACTGTTCAAGGCAAAACAAACTATGAAGGCAGTTTCTGTTGGGGCAAGACTTCCAGTGACAGGGGGGAACATTTCTCCTCTCCAGATTTCCTTGCCCAAGTCCAGTCGTGTCTATTGCCTGCTCACATCTCTTCAGTTTCAATTTTATTTTCCCGTATTATGTGACTAAGGATGTTTGGTTACATTGACAAAATGTTCATTCTGACGGGATTTTTTTCTGGCTTCCAAATTTAGTTTAATGTAGGAGTGCAAGGATTCAGCCCACAGCCCTTTGCAAAGTGTCCAACTAACCTCACAACTGTTTAGATAAAGCAAGCTCCCTGGTTGGCATCCGTGGTCTTCCTCTGTGCTATACTAAGCAGGGGAGACAACAGAGCAAGCAAGATGCACAGAGCTGAGAAACCAGTATGGCGTCATCCTTCTAGAGGACCTGTCTGAGATGGTTCAGAAAGCATGGTGCGCTGCCTCTTTCAAGCAACCCAGGCTAGCAACAGAGTTGCGGCGGCAGTGAGCAGAAAATGATTATAGCACACCAGTGAAGTGGAAGGGAAAGGAAGCGAGGAATATCCCTTGTAGAACAGGAGGAAAGCCCAAAATATATTGATGGGGTAGGACTAACTCAGCATTTCTCCTTACCGTTAGCAGGTATTCCACAGCCCGGTGAGGGTTGTTGTAGCTGGCCCGTAGGGCTGCCGCCACCCGCTCTCGCTCATAGCCCATTGACATGATTTCATTCAGCATTGTCTCATACTCTGAGCCAGTAACTGGAAGCGGAAATGGAAGACAGTTTGACGTTAGGGGAAGAAAATGCGCAACTATTTCCACCTGACCCTTGCATATGGGAAGGGGAGCAAGATGGGCAGCTGGACTGGAAGGCAACAGGTCACTTTGCCATTGCCAGCATCCTCATTACAATGTCTGCAGAACCAGGAAGCCTTGTACCTTTGGGGCTTTGAACACCAGTAAGTGCCAAAGCTTCAAATCCAGTTTCTATTCCCAGATCTTCAAAGTCCCTCTAATGGCTGAAAACAGAATTAAGATCTCAAGCCTCTTTCCACCAAGAGAGACCACCCTCTCGAAAGCCCGCTGAGTTTCGCTACTAAATCTCATTCCCCTTACAGAACTGGAGGCAGCATCAGGATTCCAGGTTTTAACTACTAGACTGCTTCCAGAAATGGGGATGGAATCCAGAATTTCCAGTTTCCATGGCCATAGCTCAAGTGCTAGATGCTGCTCCTTATATAACACGGGCACAAAAGGGCAAGCAGGTGCCCACTATGCCGTAACCTTGATGGAAAGAATACAGGTATCAGTGGCTGATGACAGAATTTGGGGGTGAAATCTGCCGAACTGTTCCCACAAGCAGTGTTCAACTTTCAGACCCAGGATCCATCTTTAACCCTAACCTGCAACATGAGACCCACTTTAATTTTTTTACTATGTATGGTTTTCTTTTGCTGCCTTCTCTCCCCACACCCTACCCACCTAAAGAAGCCTAGAGCAAAAATGATGGTGCAGTCTCAGTTGCAACCCACTCATGGCTCCCAGCTGACGCTTGCATGCCGGATCCCCATGAAACAGTGGTGGAAGGAGAAGTGTTTTAACCACTAGAGACCATTAGAGGGCAGCACTTCCTAAGTTATCCCGTGCTGTATTGTATTTAGAAGTCCATCAACTATGGATCTGAAGACCATAGAAATTTACCAGTCAAAACAGCGGAATAGGGAGAGAGTGGTCCCAATCTTATAAGAGCAAACTGCAGCCAAGGAGCTGAGAGCTCTCCCCCGTGGCAAGCGAAGGAAAGGCGCTCACCTACCTAAAGTGGAAGCTGCATCATCTTCACGTCCCATGCTACCTGAAGAGGGAACAGAGCTGCAAATTTAAGAGAGAGAAATAGTAGCTGGGTCCTTTCAGATAACTGGCCAAGAAAACTGAAAAGCCAAATATAAACTAAGCAACAGAACAGCTGGTTTCCCCTTCAGTCATACAATCTCTCTCCTACCCCCATGGCTGACAAACAGCAAGCAACTGCTTAGCCTAACGATTCTTACCACCACCGAGGCCTGGAGTGCAACTACAATCACCACATTTCAGGGGTACTGTTCTGAGAGTGGGTAGTGGTGCTAAAACTGGTGGTACGAAGCTATGAAGCAACAGAGGCCAGGAGAGGAGGGCTGCTCACCCCCAAAACACATGCTCTTATGTACCTTCTTGTTTCCTGCCCCAATCCTGCATCCTTTTTATAGCCGTCTAATAACACCAGTTAGCAACCCAAGCTGCATTCTGACATCACAGGCCTTCACCTCCCTCTTCCTCTCCAAGACTCCAATCTCATTTGAGGCACCTAGGCTGTGTGGTTTGCAACCCACTTTCAAACCCACTCAAATCTCCACTCAAATCTCCACGTTAAAGTCCTCAAACATAGAGGCAATAAAATCTAACAGCTAAACAAACACAAGACCACAACCGGCTGGTCCAAGTGATGGTAGGCTAATTCTGTGTCCCTTTAGCATCTGCTCTAGAAGTTATCCCCCAATCAGTTTACAGTGGTGCCTCGCAAGACGAAATTAATTCATTCCGCAAGTTTTTTCGTCTTGCGGTTTTTTCGTCTTGCGAAGCACGGTGTCGGAAAAGCTTTGGAAAAGCTTCAAAAATCACCAAAGTCCTCAAAAACCTCAAAAAAGGCTACCACACCGCGTGCTATGAGTTGCTCCTCAAAGTCAAGTCGCAACTATATTAACGGTTTTAAGAAAAAGGAAACAAACTTGCAAGACGTTTCCGTCTTGCGAAGCAAGCCCATAGGGAAAATCGTCTTGCGAAGCAACTAAAAAAACCAAAAACCCTTTCGTCTAGCGAGTTTTCCGTCTTGCGAGGCATTCGTCTTGCGAGGTACCACTGTACTCCAAACATTGGTGGATTTTCAGAACCAATCATGATTTCCAAGGCCTAGAATTTCTCCCTCCATTATATCATTCCAGCGTCACCTACAAAACAAATGAGAGTGCGGAGGGTGGCAGGGCAAGCCAAACTTACCCAACTGATTCCTGGGGGGAAACAGTCACTGTCTCTTCAGGAGGCTTCTCCTCACTTGTTGGAGTTCCTAGTGGGGGCGAAACAGTAGCTGCTCCAGGCAGCAGCGTCTGTCCAGAGGATGGTGTAGGCTCTGATGGGGGCGCTGCCTCACTTGGTGAGGGGACAGGAGCTCCTGAGCCTGTTTTGTTCTGAACAGAAATTCAAAATGAGACTTAGAAGCAGATACAATGCATTTCTATCCCACAGAGAAAAGCAAAGGGGATTGACCTTCAAGTTAATTCTGAGAAACCAAGAGAAGCGACTCCTGGAATTTTCAATGCCCTGTAATCACCTTTCTTGGATGCGCCCACACCCCAAGGCTGAAGCTTGCACTGTCAGAAACATGCACCAAATCTGCTTCCTAGCACACCATCCTTTGAACCACAGCAAGGCGGGGAGGGGAGGGGAAGCTACTGAAGCAGAATCAGTCTTCTATTCCCATGAAGCAATGGAGCTGCCCAACCATACCTTGGTGACCATCACCACCACAAAGTTCTTCTCATCAATCTTGTACTCCTTGATAGGGACATCATCACTCAGGATCTTGCCAGCATAGATAAGCTTCTGTCCCGACACTGGGAACGCTTCCTTGCCCTTTTCAGCCTCAATCTTCTCCTTAAGAACTCGGACCTGTGGGTCAAGACCAAACTGGTTCCACCATCTGTCTTGTACTGAACGCCTAAAAGTCAAACTTTTTCCACCCCAAGAAGCGTGGCTGTAGAGATATTTGAATTGGCCCATAAGCCACATTCTTCCAGCACAGTGAGCTCTGTTCCGTATCTAATGCTCTTTTGAGTACTGTCTTTACTCCCAATGAGGAGAGATGGGTTCAGAAAGTCCCTTGCTTCTAAAAGCTTTTAGGAAAGCCAAACCTGTTGCCCTGCTATCTATAAATACCAAAAGCAAGAGTGGACACACACTTCATGGTACTTTCACCAGTTCAAAAAAACTATCCCCCCCCCCCCCCCAGTACCATTAATAGGCAATCTTTCCAGCTTCTGGGACTGCTCTCCATTCCCACAAACACAGTACAGCTCCACACCTCCGTAGGATTTTATGATTATATGGTACTTGGCAGCATATAAACACCACATTCTGTACTACTGTCAAGGTTCAGGGAATCCTTTCCCTTCCCTGGTGGCAGCAAAAAAAGCAGCTGACAAGAAGAGTCCTTACCATGTAATTTATTCAGGATTTACAGAGTGAGACAAAGGAATGTAGTCCCTATCTATCAATGGTGTTGCTTCAGGTAAAGTCCCACCCCCCTACGTCGGCCCTATTCTACGTCACCCATGCGCCGGCTAATCTAAGTTTTCTGCCTCTGAGCTCTCTGTTCTACTACTCTCAAGGCATGCCTGGTTCTGGGAGGGGGTTGGTCAGGAATGCTTTCTAAAGACACTGAGTCTGTCAGCTGTCTCTTCCCTGGTGCTTTTTCTTCTTCCTGCTGTTTCTCTTCCAATATTTCCCAGCTTCTGCCCTCTGCAGCCTCTGAACTATGCCCCTCTGCAAACCACTGTTCTAAATCTACACCAGACACAGGCAAACTCGGCCCTCCAGATGTTTTGGGACTACAACTCCCATCATCCCTGACCACTGGTCCTGTTAGCTAGGGATATGCCTGATCTATACTGTCCTCCTGTTCTCGGGAAGGTTCAGGAGAAGGGGGGGCACCATTCAGTCCAATCCCTGACAACTACATTTATAAGAACTCAATTGTTTCATGGGGCAGCACCCAATCTTTGTAACTCCCTGCCTATTGAGATCAAGCTGGCACTTTCATTGTACAGTTTTCAGCGCCTGTTAAAAACATTCTTGTTTCAAAAAACCTACCTAATGCTTAGAGGTAATTTTAGTATTTTAACTTTCGTATGTTTTAAATATGGTCATGGGTTTTTCTTGATTTTCTTGCTTATCTTTTTGTAAGCTGCTTTGAGATTGTTTTTGTTTTGTTTTTTTACAATCAAGCACTGTATAAATTTTATGAAATAAAAGAATAATAATAAACAATCATCATCCAAAAACAGAAGGTTCAAAAAATGAAAGGAGGTCTTTGATTTAAACAAAAAAAACTTCCTTGATAGGGCACAGAAAAGCTTTCACCTTTGTGAACAGTCAGCAGTTGCACCATGGTTTAGGTTAAAAAGGAATTTTGCAAGATGAGATTGCATAGGGAGGCCGTTGTCTTCTGCACTGTGTGGCTGTCTCTCTTGAATAAATCCCAAAGCTGTTTTACTTCTATACTTCTGTGCAGGGTGAGATGATGGATGAATGGTCCTACCCTGGCCGTACAGTTAAATTTTGATAAAAAGAACTCAGTCCAGCAGGATGCAACATATACCTCGCACGAAAGGGATAATGCAGCTTGTGACAAATTTTTAATTTTTTTTCCTTTCAAAAGGTCATGTTTGAGAATCCTTACTAAAACTGTTTTGGAACTTGAATCAAATCAGAACATGATAAAAGCTAGCAAACTGGTTAAGTTCAGGGCTTATTCATATGTAGGTACTGGTGTTTGAAAGGATTTACTTCGTTCCACTGAAGTTAAAAGCAAGTTGCGAAAGAGGCATGCCTCTTGACCCACAATAGGCAGAGACTGAAAAATAATAATGAATTCTTAGCAGTTACCACTCCTCATATGTGTTCTGCCAGGATTATATGACAAGGGAGGAATCAAGGTGATTACTCCAGATTTATGTCACTTTTAATATCTGGATTCATATTCAGACTCACTTCATTCAAAAAAAACCAGATGAATCAGTATAATGTTGAAGCAGAGGAGGCAGAAATCTACCTATAAATAACATGGGTAATAAAATACATAAAACACTGATTTAAAAACAAAAACTGAGGAAAGATAGACATCGGTGGTGGGAAAAAAGCTACCAAAACAACAGTAAATATGATAGACTGTGCCCTAGGACAGCTGGTCATGGAACTGATCAGAAGAGTGGCAACCGTGGACCTAATCTTGAGTGGTGCCGATGACCTGCTGAGAGATGTGGGTACCGTTGCACCAATTGGGAATAGTTACTATAGTGTTATCAAATTCAATTTATATACAGACAATTGCCAAGAAAACCCAAAAGTCACATTTGACTTCAATAGAGGGAATGTCCCAAAAATGAAGGAATTGGTAAAAATGAAGTTTAAAGGCAAAGTCAATAGGGTCACATCTCTCAAAATGTTCAGGGGTTGTTTAAAACCAAACTAGAAGCTCCGTTTAAATGTAAATAGCAAATCAAAAAGGTACCACCAGGGCCAAGAGAATCCCAGCATGAATAACAAGCAGAGTTAAAGAAGCTATCAAAGGCAAGGCGGCTTCCTTTAGAAAATGGAAATCTTGTCCAAATGAGAAGAAAACAGAACACAAACTTTGGCAAAAGAAATGCAACCGAACAATAAGGGATGCTAAAAAAGAATCTGAAGAGCATCTTGCTGAAAACATAAAGACTAACCACAAACAATTATTTAAATACATTGAAAGCAGGAGACTGGCTAGGGAGGCAGTTAGTTGGACCTTTGAATGACAAAGAAGTCAAGGTATGCTGAAGGAGAAAAAGGAGATTGCAGAGAAGCTAAATGAATTCTTTGTACATATCTGCCTGCACAGTAGAAGATATATGGGAGACCCCTGTACCTGAACTAACTTTTAGAAGGGAACCTGCCAAACTGAGGCAATTAGAGGTGAAAAGATACAAAGTTCTTATAGGCCCTTATTGAAAAATAAAATTTGACAATTGCTGGGTCTGGATGGCATCCAGCCAAGAGTTCTGAAGAAACTCAAATGTGAAAATACTAAACTTCCAACAAAAAGATGTAACTTGTTCCTAAGATACCTGCCTCCATACCTGGACACTGGAAAATGATCAATGTAGTGCCATTTCACAGGGAGGGAGGGGGGACTGGGGGCAGGGGTAATCCTGGAAACCACAGACTGATTAGCTTAGCATCTCTTCCAGAAACTGGTTGAAAGCATTGTTAAAGATAGAATTACCAAGCATTCAGAAGAACAAGTCTTACTAAAGCAGAACCAGCATGGCTTCTGTAAAGGTAAGTCCTTTCTTACTAACATTTTCAATTTCTTTGAGAAATAAGCATATAGATTAAGGTTACCAGATGTCTCCATTTCCCAGGGACAGTCCCTGGAGTTACAAATCAGTCCCCTGACAAAATCCATCTATTTAGTAGGAAGTTGAAAAGTGTCCCCAGATTCATTGAAAAAAATCTGGTAACCTTAATATAGATAGAAGTAACCCAGTTAACAAATACTTTTTAAAAAGCTTTTGAAAAAGTACATAAAATACCTTATCAAAGACTCCCAAGCAAGGTTAGCAGTCATGGAATAAGAGAGGTGCTCTTGTGGATCAGTAATTGGTTAAAAAGCAGGAAGCAGATAGCAGGAATAAATGGACAGTTCTCCCAATGGGAGGGATGGTACAAAGTGGAATCCTCCAAAGTATTGGGACCTGTGTCATTTAACTTGTTCACAAATTATCAAGGAGCAATGAAGTAATCAAGTTTGTTGATGACGCCATTTTTTTCAGGATGGGCAAAAAAATATAAAAATCTTAGTTTCACACATACATTTATGGGGTCTTAACTAGAAGCAACTGACCAGGAACAAGATGGATAGCTTGATAAATATATTGACTAAGAGTGCAGCAGCTGTGAAAAAGGTGAATGCCATGCTAGAGATCACTAGGAAAGGGATTGAAAATAAAACTGCTAGTATCGTAATATCTTTATACAAATCTATGGTGCAACCACACTTGGAATACTGGGTGCAGTTCTGGTTCTTCCTTCCTCTTAAGAACAGAACTTGGGACCGTCCATTGAAGCAGAAAATTGGAAGGCTCAGGACAGACAAGCGAAAGCACTTCTTCACATGGCACAGAGTTAAGCTATAGAATTTGATCCCGCAAGAGGTAGCAATGGCTAGCAACCTGGATGGTTTTAAAAGAGGATTAGGCATTGATAGAGAATATGATGATCAATGGCTTCTAGTCATGGTGGCTGTGCTCTACCTTCAGGATCAGAGGCCATATGCTGGAAGTAACAACTATGAAAACAAAATGATGCCAAAATAACCAAAATGTAAGCCAGTAGGTTGCACTCATGTTCTGCTTGCCACAGCCTCTGTGAGAACAGAATATGGGACCACATGTGTATTTGGCCTGGCCCAGCAAACTCTTATTATGTTCTTGATTTGGGGGGGGGGGGGGTTCAGGACTACAAATACAAGGCAAGGCACCCAGAATAGGAGATACTAATTCGGAAATCACCAATCTGCATTTGATTTTGAATTTAAGCACGTGCTGGGAAAGCTAGCGTAGGGAGGAGGGGGTGGAAATGGGAGCAGCCCCTTTATAGATGTTGGTGTAACTATGTGATGTAACAGGATGTGTATGTGGAATTAAGAATAAAGCACGACTGGAAGGAAGGCGCCCGGGGCGCGCGCGCGCGTGTGTTACGTGCCCAGCAGCGAACAGATCCTTACGCCAGTAAGGATCAAGGACTGTGGCTACACGTGTGTATTGAGAGAGACCGTGCGCCTTCGAGAAACCCCTACTTGACAGCTTTTCCTGTGTGAGCTTTGTGGCAAAACAAACGACGCTGTTCTTTAAGGACTAACTTCTAGATCGGGAGAAGTTGGAGGATCGCCTCTGTAAGGCGACCCGGGGGTGGACTGCTTCCCTTTCCCTTCCCACCTCGCGAGGAATCTCCTACGAACGAGAGAGGGGGATCTGGAAAGCGAGAGGCGAGAAGTACCGCCCGCTTAACCTGCAAGGCGAAAGGGGGCTCCTGGCGCAAGAGGGTTGGGGGCGCTGAAGAGGCCGGGGGAAGGAGAGGGGGGTGGGGAAGGGGAGGAGGAGGAGGACGACCCGCCGCCCCTCACCGTCTCGTCAGGCTCCATGCGGATCTTGAAGGTCTGCTGCTGGAGGGTCTTCAGGGTGACGGTCACCGCCATGGCGGGCGGGAAGGAGGGAGGCAGGGGAGAGGGCGGCGGCGGCGGCGGCGGCGGCAACTGGCGGTTCCTCCCAACGGACTCAGCTGGGGGTCCCCCACAACAACATGCAACTTCACGACGCCGCCATTTTAATCGCGTCCGAGCGCCGCTTCCGCTCCCTGACGGGCCCTTCCCACGTGACAGGGGCCAAGGAAGACAGGCCGAGGTGTTCCTTAACCATAGAGTCAGGAAGGCTAGAAAACGCACGCACGCACACGCACGTTTCCCGGCTTCCGGTTCGTTTCGGGGATTTCCGTTTCGCGCGCCTTCTGCGCAAGCGAGTAACGCCGTGGGCGGAGGGGGTGATTTAAGTTGGGGGTCGCTTTCGACGGGGATTTCTTTTCTGGGCCTCCAACGTTAAGGAACCAAGAGAAAGTGATGCGGTACGATTTTCCCATGGGAGGACTCGGGGTTTACTTCCGAGTAGGCGCCTCCAGCCTGTAAATATTGACAGGGCGACTGTACAATGCACGACTGGTGCTAGTTCCCCATCGCCTCCATGCCACCCTTCTCAATTATGGGTATATTTGCGTTTCCATTGCGATTCGGTATTTTCCCCAGGCGAATCAAGGTCCTTGTGCAGTACAGCATCAGCTACTGACTTTGCCTCTCTGTAGGGTATTAAAGGCAGCCGTTACATTTGCATGCCAGGTGAAAGAATGGCTCTAAATGTTAGCAATGATGTTGATTTCAGACAGCAGAAGCCAGGTCTAGAATTTTGTACTGAATGGGAGCCCAGTCACGTGACAAGGACACTGACCATAGCTTTCCTTCCATATGGGGGAACTTCACCAAAGCAAGGCTGAATACTCAAAAGTGATTCTTCTAAAAGGAAAACCTTGTGCTAGAAAGTAACTCAATTCCTCCTTGACAAGGACAGGCCACAGCAGCTTTCCATAGGATGGGATGATAGCTTCAGGTAAGAGTCAACTAGAGAGTAGCCATGCTATCATTTATTTTCTACTATCCTATATTCTCTTTCAAAAGTAGAATTTTATATACTCTTAAACCACTTTTTGGCAAGTGACCTTGCTTTGCTATAGTAGCTCAGAGTACAATGATCATCCAAACACAGTACAACACAACAAATCTATTTATGGGCCAGACATGAAGTTTAATTTAATAGAAATTTTCTTCAATCTTCCATACATTCAAGTGTGAACAAGTGAGATGACTCCTCGTGTTAGTCTCTGCCTCCATAGGCTCTTCAGTTCCTAGCTCTCTGCCCGGACACATCTAAAGCAGAAATTTATCACCCCCCACCCCTGGTGATCCTCCAGCTGAAGCTCTGCAATGACCACCACCACACCCTGACACACACAAGGCTGTCATATGAAATATCTAAAAGCTAAGGGTGCCATCCAAATTGGGTTAAAAGTAATAGTTTGCTTTGCCCATTGCACTTTGTGCTTTTTTAAAAAGCACCTGATTTGTCTAATGAGCACAGCAGCAAAAGTGACTGTTACTACTCTTTGAACAAGACAGGATGTCAACATCCATTGTCTTACACATCATACAATACTGGTTGTCTCAATTTTGTTCTCCTGGAAGCCATCTAATATTCCATTCCCAGGTATCCCACCCCTTTTAAGTATGAAACCACCATTTGGAGCTTCAAGTATCTTAAAAGGGTAAGCAAAAGGGCAGGCAATACAGGGGAGTTCTGCTTTATGGACATCCATTTCTGGAGGGTGACTGGAGTCAAAACTTTTGTGAAAAAGTGGCCATATTCTTTAAAAAAAAAAAAAAAGATGGTCAATGGCATCATCCCCATTTCAAAGGGTTATGTTCCTACAGTTAGCCACCTTAGGACGCAGGTTCTAGTTCTCCCTCTACACACATGAATGAATAACTGATGACATTTGGGAAGAGGGTTAAGACAAACAAACACACCAATAAAAAAAAAGTTCTTTTGTCTCATAGAGACATTACTGTTATCCCCTCTCCTTTGTTGGGTTCAACCAAGCAGACTGCATGGTACAGGCCCAGGGCGAGGCTCAGCCAACAAGCACACCTAACCACCCCTAATCACAGCTCATCCTTCAGTGGGCCATCTGTTTCTTCCTCCTCATCCTTTTCTTCCTCTTCCTCCTCATCCTCTTCATCTTCCTCATTATCTTCACCCTCCGGCTCATCGTCTCCTTCCTCTTCTTTCTTCTTCTTGTCTTCTTCCTCCTGCTTCTTTCGTTGCTCCTCATCCTGCTGCTCTTTCATTTTCTTCTCAGCATCCTAGTGACAATTTAAAGGGATATATGTTCGTGAATAGGGGTTATCATGTTAAGTAGGACTCAGTAGTATGGTGCTAAAGGCTTGAAAACCATGCAGCTGCCCTCATCTCTCAGCAATGATATGTCATAGAACATATAACTTACAGAAGTTAGGCGATTGCTACAAGCTTTGAGTGTTTGTTCATTCCATAATTAAAACTCATGGAGGGCAGATAGATGAACAAATACATCAACAGATAGTAAGCCAAAAATCAAACCTCCATATTTAGGCTGGCAACTTCCCATTTGTGCACAATTGGCAAGGGGGCAGAACAGGGCAGGCTTATGAACATCCCACTGACAGACGCAGTGCCTCTGAATGAAACTTCTCCATGTAAATGGGGAGTTGCTCACATATGAACGGGGGAAGGCCATTACTTCCATACCTTACCCCTGTGTTTGACAAGGCATCTAGCTATTGAATAGAGAAGCCTGAGCCTTGGCTTGGATCCACCAACCAGCTTAGTTTTCTATATCCCACCCTTCAGCATACTATACTTCCAGGGCTAATCATGAAGTATTAAGAACATAATGATAAAAAGTAAGGAGCAGCAAAATAAAAGCAGTTGAAAACAAATTTGATCTCAGAATAGAATCAGAGTTGAAAGAGACCTACCCCCCACAGTAGGGCTGGATGATATTTGGTTTTGAATATTGTGCCATATCGCCAGCTAAATACTGTGGCATTACAAACATTGTGGTATATCAGTATAAGGATGCAGCAGCACTGGCTGGCTTCATGGTTTTTTCCTGTATCATTTTTGCCAGCGCCTGCTTTTATGATTCACTACCCCCTGCTTGAGGCAGGGCAGAGCTGAGCAAGCAGAGCTAATACGGGCTGCAGGAATTGAGAGAAGCATTGGTTGGCTTCATAGTTTTCCCCACATTGTGATTTTTGCAACACATACCAGGATTCACGTAATTTGAAAGGTCAAACATTATGAAACCAGTAGCACAATATGGACTTCAAACTGGTTTTCGATGATGTATCATAGAAGGAATGAGATTGAAGCCAAAAGTCACCCTCAACATTTTAACATAGTCCATAGCAGTTTCTAAAGCTCAGAATCTGGAACTTGCTCAATTTGGAGATGAAGATTATTCATTTAAAGCACTTTACAAAACCTAGGTAAAACAAGATGATGTGGTGACGACCCTGGCCATGAATATCTAGAAAAATGACTCCTCACCTTAGTGGCACCCCAGGTTTCATTGCCAACTTCTTCAGCAAATTTCTCATCATCAGTAATCAGGAAGTTGTCAAAAATGGTGCCAGACTTGACCTGTAGCAAACAACAACAATTAGCTCCAATGTTTCTACATAAGTCTAGGTTTCTCGGACAGCTTATAAAGCAATGAAGTGTTTCAGCATCATTTCCAATCACACTGTAAGTTGGTCTTTAAATCAGCCATAATTTCTCCACTATCCGCTCCAGGTTCATTTAAGTATTTACACACTACTTTTCTCTCATAAATCCTGCAGCTGAACACAGAATAAGACATCAGAAAATTGCCAATGGCAGCTGCTGCTTTTGATACCACATTTTGAATCAAGACCACCTTAATAGCATAACTATTACAGTCTTGGATAAAGACTTTTTATATGTTCTCTTTTTTTACATCATAGTTATGGTATTCCTATAATTTGGTGTCTGTTTGGACACAAAACTGCCTTAGATTTGAGACTGCTCACGACTTCTATTAACATTTATATTACTTATTTCAGTAATTTTTATCCTGCTTCCCCACTAAATGAATGCTTGAGAAAATTGGCAGCTGTGGCAACTAATTTATTAAGTTAATATGTTTTCTGTTAAGTTATAGTTTTCTATGTCATCAAAGCATACACAACAGGAGTATATACAACAATCCTGAAAGACAGGAATGCCACCAATAAATCCAGAATACATTCAGATGTTGGGGCAGGAAGCATTGGAAAAACAGGAAACTATTCAAACTTGCATCCTTATATAACATTCTTCTATGCTTAACATCTGACCTGAACTTTTTAATAGTAAGCTTCTGGCCAGGTATATGAATGTGGTAGCTTCTCTTTTGTTTGTTGTGAACTGAGCATGGAGAAGTGGGATATTGTTTCAAGAACTCACCTGCCACAAGTCCAAGCCAATGACACCAAAGTTTTCAAAGAAGTAAAGGTCGGGATCCGGAGTGTACTCAGGATTATCTATCTCGGGATGAATCCATTTCCCTTTGTAGTTGGGGTTGTCTATCTGACGAGGTTTCCACTCCCCCTGCAAAAATATAATAAAAAATATAGGAAATCCAGAACCTATTACAACTGACACACAGAGCCAGTTTTAAAATAAATCTCCAATACTTGTGGCCAGCACGTTTGATAACTTAAGCATGGAAGGGACAAAAGAATAAAAAATGAATGGTTTACATTAATTCCAGTTTTAATTAAACCTTCTTATACATGTATGTGTACATTCCACATAAGGCTTCTAAGACTGCTTTCTTTTAGAAGTCTTAATTAATTAGAGGCACTTAAGTGAGGAGTTTGGTGATGTGGCTTTAAAAATGAAAACATCCAACACTGCAGCCTTAGCCACTATTTACCTTGTATTCTGGATTTTGGATTACTGGTGGTTCCCACTCGCCATCCATCTCTTCATCCCAGTCCTCAGGCTTCTTGGCATCAGGATCAGGAATATGTTCTGGCTTATCCCAGTCCTGAAAACAAGTTGGGGGGGAGACAGGTATTAGGCAACGTTCTCACCCAACCAAGATCAGTATTGCCTTCCCGCATTGCAGGGGTTGGGCTAGATGACCCTCAGGGTCCCTTCCAACTCTACAATTCTATGCTTCTGCACAGCTATCAGTTGAAGCTACAGTGTCACAATCTCTTCTCACCCACTCACAAAGAACGTAACCATTTCCCCAGCTCCCTCTTATTGTCTACCCCACAGCTGAAACTCTGGTTTCAAGTCTGGTGCCTCTGTTTACATCTGTTTACATTGCTCTTAAGTGCTGTGCATATTGTTGGTGCTATACCACCACTAGTACACACTAACCTCTGGTTTTGTGTCTTCAGGATCATCTATCTTTGCTCTTTCATCCCAGTCATCTGGTTTCTTTGCCTCTGGATCCTTAATTTTCTTGGGAGGCAGGAAATCCCAGTCATCCTCCAAGCTGCCAGACTCCACTTTGTTGTTGTCAATCTTTACTTCATATGTGTTATCAGGCCGCACGATGAGGGTATAAAGATGTGTAAACTCGTCATCCTGTCAAAGGAAACAGCTTAAAACTGAGGATAACAGATTCCCTTTAGCCTAGGGTGGAATGCTTTTCAGCAAGGAAAAAAAGGCAGATTTAAGTCAAGCTTCCCACTGATACTGCATACATTTCCTAAACTATGGCACAAGTCTGACTACTAAACCATGTTAATTTACAACTAAACAGAGTATTATTTACACAGCTTCATTTTTAGAACTAGGCTTTGCATCACTATCACACTGAATACATTTTGCATGCTTTCATTTTTAACCTATGGGGAGTGCATTATTCCCATAGAGCCTCTATGGTGAACAATTAAATGTCAAAACCTGCACACTGGGCAATTCTCCTATTTCCAAACAATTAAATGCCCACAATTGTTTGAGGCAAGGCTGAAGTTTCTGGGTAGATTCAGAGTAGTATTTTAATGATATAAAAATGAATGTTAGAATGTAAATAGTTGCATCTGCTAAATGAACAGAAGTATAAATTTAGACAAAAGCCTCATTTAACTAACTCTCTCTCTATATATATATGTCACAGAGCACCAACAATGTTAAATTAGTAAGAAATTTCGTACAGTATTAAAAAAATTCTACCCAATGGTAGGCCTATGCAGAGTAGCTCCATTGAAAATAATGACCAGTGATCTCATTGGGTGCAGTCCAACAATAATTTTGGGGAATACAACCTAATATCTGGTTTGATTTAATTAAATAGCAATTCTATCCATTTTTAGCCATACTGCTTTCTTTCTAGGATCAGAATTTCAAAAGGACTGCTCAGTTAGGTCTCCAGACACTCACTTTACAACGGATGTCCTTATTGATTAAGACATTTTTGCCTTTGTAGTTGAAGATCACATGAACTTTCTTGGTACCTGGGCCACAGATATCAGGACCTGCATTGGAGACAAAGGGCATAGGATTCATAACAGAATTAAAATGGGGGCCCACACCCAGATGATCAAAAGTGGGCAGCAAGCATTCAGTTCAGTCTCAGACTAACACCACAATGCCCACTTACAAGAATACAGAAAATACTCAGTTCACTACTGCATAGCTTAATCATTCCCCAATAACAAACAATATTTCTCAAATTAGGTGCCATTCCAAAAGCAGACCGATGTAAGTGTTGTAGAAGGGTTTCCAATGCTTGCCTAGCACCATGCAAGGCTATACCCCTGCCCTCTAAAAACCAAACACCATCATGTCCATTTACTAGCATACATGGAGAAGGCCCAAGGGAAGGAGCACCAACCCTCAATTTGCCGCATGGGCCTCTTGTTGACCCCCTCCTACAGCCTTACGGATTAGCAACCGCCCAGACAAGTATGTATTTCAAGCAAGCGCACTCACCAAACATGATGTTGTACTCAGAATCCCCATGCATGTCCTCTTGGTTCAGGGTTGAGGGGAAGAGTTTCACATAGCCACCTCCGCAGTCAATGTTTTGTTCATGTTTCACTGTGAACTGGACCACCAGGGTCTTAGCCTTGTTGCTGAAGCGATCAAAGGTAGCAGAGAGTGCATAGAAACGAGCATCCTGACTTGTCTGAAGTCCTGGGAAGATGAAACACAGTCAAGGTGTATATAAGAGACAGGGATATCGTTATAGATGACAATAGTGTGCAAATCTGATTATACAATTCCTTCACAGAAACCCTCTCAAGTTTTTTATTACCTGGGGGACCAGAAGTGGAAAAATAATCCAATGTTTACAGGTCTGTCTACAAAAGTTGTGGCAAGTGAAAACTCAGGGATGGCCTGATATACTACCATTTAATAAGGCAAGCCTGATCCTGTGCAACACTGCAATCATCACCTTCAGATTTAGGACTACATTTGTGACTGAATTAAGAGAACACAGTCCTCCAGAACATCTCCTTACCTTTGTCTTTCTCTGCATCTCCATAGAATTTGCCAGCAGTAAGCTTGAATTTCCCATAGTCAGACTTGTGCTTTGATTCTACCCAACGGTTTGTCCAGGCATCTAAAAGGAACGAAAGGAACAAATTTTGAAACTAAAGAGCTACAATGATTCACCACATACATTTGGTTAACACTGGGCTACAAATGCTCCCAAGACCAGAGGGCAAATAAAACCATTCAAATGCAACATGTGGCACAAACACTTTTTTCTGTTCAGTTACAAAAATAATTTTTGCAACAAGCTTACAACGTTTTTGCAATGTTGCAGTGACCCTGTACAAGGAAGCAAAACGTCAGTCAAAATCAGTCAGTTTTGGTTGCAAAAGTTCAGGCCCCACCTTGATTCTTTTAAAATCAACTTACCACTCAACTTGAAGCAAGCTAAAATGGATACAGTAATGGGCTATCTGGTATGATGACTACAGGTACTAGTTGGGTCCAAAACCTTGCTCTTGGCCATGACATGTAATGGCAGTCCCAGGACAAGACAGTCTCAGGACAAATGCCCAACACAACATCTACTTTGCTTGAAGTGATTTAGCATATAATGGGCTGTGACAGATTTATATGTGGCCAACATCCCAATCCCTTTTCAATGCTGTGATGCATATGAAATCTGTATGCTGATTCTGCTTTACTTGTTATTAGATGACTTCCCCTGTTGGCTACTGCAGCTCTTGCCAATCTGGCTCACACCAGGTATTTTGGGAGCACAATTCCCCAGCAGGCATGCACCAAGTTAGTGAATTGTGGTTTACTAAATGGTCCTGTTTTTGTGGGTTCCCTTGATCTTTCCGCCCAGCCAGATCTACTTCACAAGGTTGTGGAAGATCAAGTTGGCAACATGAATTTGACCCATAGCTCATTAAAAGGGTGAAATGCAAAAAATGAGCAAATTCTGATCATGTGTAAGTTAACACATTGAACACAAACTGAACTAGAATTTGTTAAGATAAAACACTTGTCTTAACCTGCAAAATCCTGGCAACAATTTCAGCAGTGAATAAGAACATGCTTTGCCTGATCACTGCAAATGCAAATGATCTACCTAATTTCTATCCCCCATAAATTGCCTACATATAATATGCTACAACAGAAAAGCAGTATTAGCACCTTCACTTTTGGGGTACTGGTCCCATTTAAGACAGGGCACTGCAACTGCATGGCTTTCTAATGAAACTGCTTTGCTATGAAAAATAATTTAAAAATGTGTAATTAAAAGTGTTCAGATCCACAAATGAAATGATTAAGACATAATCCTATACGTGTCAAAACCATATGCCAATGTGTTAAACATGGTTTACTCCAAGTTAAATGGATGAAGATTGCAGCTTAAATCTCTACAAAGAGGAACAAAAGAAAATGCATGTCAGACGCTCCACAGCAGCTGGGCCTCAATACTGGCAATTTCAACTGTATTATCAAAAGGCTCTACTGGACAATAGTTGACTCCAGCAGTGGTATACCAAAAACTAGTATTGAGGTGCTGAAACAATCTAAACAGCTTCCACTCCTATCTTGCACCAACACCCATTTCTATCCTTATTGCCATGCACATAACACGAAAACCACATTTTTGTAGAGTTCTTAAGAGAAAAACCAGCTGGCAGTATCTACACTGCTTTTCAATTCTCTACACCAGGATGCACCTGTCATTTTCGATACTCCAGCAATGGGCGGTCTGTGTGTTCTAGAGACATCCCCACAGCGATCTATTTAGTCCGTGTTCTATATCCCCATGGCCCCTGCTGATTATGCCTTAATTACCAACTCCCCATCGCATCCCAGGTCTAGACTAGACACAACAAGACCTACGTCCTTGTCACACATGCAGTTAAGGTGGCATCCTCCCCAATGTGTATGCATGTGTGTGTGTTGGGGGGGGGGATTATAGCAGGTTCCATCACATCTGCTAGCTTCTCTCAAGCGAGGCTCTTAAAAACAGCAACTCAAAGGCAGCATATGAAGCTGCTCCTGTGAAATGTGAAGAGTATTGGCAGGCTGAGCTGCTCCTGAAAAAATGGGAAGGAGTGTGACAGAATGAATGCATGCTTCGCACAAGTTCCCCCTCTTAAAGTGCAAGGCTTCTTAGATACCCATTTTTACCTGGGGGGGGGGGGAGAGAAGCCATACGTTCCTCTCTACATCCTGCCCTTCATGTGACAGGATCCTGGAGCTCCCAGGGAAGCAAGCAAGCCCCTTCTCACTCCCTACACCAGCCTTAAGGGACGCTTTCTTCCTCCTGGTTCTGACAGCTGCAGCGCTCGCCCCCCCCCCCACCTCCCCGAAACCGAAACCCGGCCCGCTCCCAGTCGTGCCTCGGCCTTTGCTGGCTTAAGCCGCAGAGGGGCCTCCACCCCTCGGGCCCACCCCTCCACCCCCAAGATGGGAATAACGCCGACCCCGTCCGCCCTCACGAAGCCGCATCGCGTGGAAATACTCGGAAGGGCTGCAAGGAAAGGCGAATATCGCGATCCTGTCATACGACACTTGACAATTCGAGGGGGGGCAGAGCCTCCTAAGATGGCGGGGGGAGCAATTACATCGCCCCCCCCCCCGCCGCCGCCTCTAAGCCTCTCCTCAGGCGGCACAGCCCCAAGCGAGGCCCGAACCCCCGCGGCCCAAGGGAAGCCCACCCGGCCCCCGGGAGCCTCCAACCCGGCCCCCCAGCCAGCCAGCAGCGACCCTCACCTCCGTCCCCGAATTCCTCCCTGAAGTACTGGGCAGGCCCGGCCGACGCGAGAGCCAGCAGAGAGCAGAAGGCGAAGAAGGGACCCATCTCCCTGTTTAGATTTTATTTCCCCGCGAGGCGGCCCTTTCAAGAAGAGCAAAAGCTTCGGTGACGGACACCGACGACAGAGCAACTGCGGCCGGCGAGGAGCTTTCGATGCCCTTTTATAGGGCTTTTCTCCGAACGCCCGCCCATGCCGCGCTCCGATTGCTCCATCCGGCCCCGGCCGGCGCTGCTATTGGTCCACCGGCAGCGCGGCGGGCTGGGCGGCACCCCCGAACGTTGGCGTCCCAGATGGCTGCTTCTTATTGGCCGCCGGTCCCGGCCAATGAGGCACGACCACGCGTTCGGGGGGAGCCGCCCCCCTCCCCTCCGCCGTGGATGCGTCACCCGATCTTTTTTTCTTTTTTTTCGCAACAGCCCCACGTGAGCCCAGCGGGGTTTTAAAGGGCCAGTTCACGGCAATCTTTCCCACGCCCACCCCAGCGCCTCCCAAGCCAACGCGTTAACTGGAATAGCCATATGCAGAATGTGTTCCCAGCACTAACAAGCACACCAAGGAAGCACAGTGAACAGCTGAATCAGCCTTCTGCTGTCTAGCCAGGCACTATCTAAATCAGGGGTCAGCAAACTATATGAATCTATAAGGCCCATGCAGATGATCTAGTATAAGGTCACTTGGTGGGCTTCCTCACTGAGCAGATTTACAACCCCGCCTCCATCCCCAAGACATTTCTATTAGGCAGGACAACATCTCATGAGGCATCTGATGAAGTGCACTGTAGTCCAGGAAAACTTGTGCTTTAAGAAATGTGTTAATCTTCCAGGTGTGTTCTTATGGTGCTGCCAGGTGTGGAAGCAACTGTTGCTCTTCCAGCCCCAGCAATTTGGGGGAGGGTGGGGGTGGTAGGCACCTGTTTTGAGTGCTGTAGATCCAGGTTCCTTTCCAATTACAGTATTCGCCATCTAACTAGAGATCTGCCAGTACAATTTAGATCATGGGTAGGCAAAATAAGACCTTGGGGCCAGATCTGGCCCAATCACCTTCTAAAACTGGCCCGCAGATGGTCTGCGAATCAGCGTGTTTTTACATGAGTAGAATGTGTCCTTTTATTTAAAATGCACCTCTGGGTTATTTGTGGGGCCTGCCTGGTGTTTTTACATGAGCAGAATGTGTCCTTTTATTTAAAATGCATCTCTGGGTTATTTGTGGCGCATAGGAATTCGTTCATTATTATTTTTTCAAAATATAGTCCGGCCCCCTACAAGGTCTGAGGGACAGTGGACCGGCCCCCTGCTGAAAGTTTGCTGACCCCTGGCATAAAGCATAGAGACACAACCTGGAATGAAAAACAGCAACCACAAATGAACAGCAAACAAAGGCAGCATGGTTGGGGCAGAAGAGGCTAATAATGATATAGGCTGCAGGACTAATATAACAATTGTTATAATCATAAGGGCTTCGGTAGGATATATGAGAGACAGTTGCACAAGCAGGAAAAGACAGCTTTACTGGAATCAAATTATTATATTGGGGAAAGCCTGCATGTAGCACAGACAATTGCGCCACGCTCTGTCATAGCCATAGGCAACTGGGAACTCACAGCAGCCCTCAGAGCTTCTCTTCAGACTTTCTCGATTGCAGTCAGCAATCCCAGGTAGGCCTTCTTATTACGCAGCTCAGCTACCTCTCCTCAGATAAAGGTAAAGGTAAAGAGACCCCTGACCATTAGGTCCAGTCGTGGCCAACTCTGGGGTTGCGGCGCTCATCTCGCTTTATTGGCCGAGGGAGCCAGCGTACAGCTTCCAGGTCATGTGGCCAGCATGACTAAGCCGCTTTTGGTGAACCAGAGCAGCGCACGGAAATGCCGTTTACCTTCTGGAGTGGTACCTATTTATCTACTTGCACTTTATGCTTTTGAACTGCTAGGTTGGCAGGAGCAGGGACCGAGCAACGGGAGCTCACCCGCTGACCTTCTGATCGGCAAGTCCTAGGCTCTGTAGTTTAACCCACAGCGCCACCTGCATCCCTCAGATAAGCAGAGCCAAAGGTTATATGTCAAACAAACCCCTGCTTCTTTGATCCCATCAGAACCAAACAGGCAGCAGGAAGCCCTCCTATCTATGCACCTCAACCAGGGGCTTACCTAGGGCTTGGCTGGGTTGGCATGGGTGCTCCAGACTCGGGGAGACAGACAAAAAGCTCTTAAATGCTCGCTCCTGCACTTATGCGAGCAAGCCATTGGTGTGTATAGAAAGGACAAGAGTTCTACCCAAGCCTCTACTGCAGGGGTCAGCAAACTTTTAAAGCAGGGGGCAAGTCCACTGTCCCTCAGACCTTGTGGGGGGCCGGACTATATTTTGGAAATAAAAATTGAACGAAATTCTATGCCCCACAAATAACCCAGAGATGCATTGTAAATAAAAGCACACATTCTACTCATGTAAAAACACGCTGATTCTGGGACTGTCCACGGGCCAGATTTAGAAGACGATTGGGCCAGATCCAGCCCCCGGGCCTTAGTTTGCCTACCCATGCTCTACTGCTATTATTCTCCTGGAAGACCTCTTCAGGACCAAGGACCATAGCTGTCAATGTTTCCCTTTTTTAAAGGGAAATCCCCTTATTCTGAATAGGATTCCTCGCAAGAAAAGGGAAAAGTTGACAGCTTTGCCAATGACTGTATTAGCACCTTCCAACCTCTGCAGAGACGAGGGCATACACCAGCAGTGGGCATGGCCAAAAAGGGCGTGTAGTCCCCACAACAGCTTATTGCCTGTGTCTTAACTGACACAGAAGTCAGTCAGGAAGTAGAGCAACTGTATTGCTGGCTTTCCTTCCCATCAGAATATATAGGCCCTCTAAAAAATGAGTTGCCACCTGACTGTTTGTAAAAGCCTGTTCACAAAAGTATATTTTGCCATTTTTCACAAGCATACTAACTTGGGTTTTCTTTGGTGGTTATCAGTAGACAATGTTCTGTAATGATGGAAGGACCCTGTATTTTCTTTGCTCTTTCTCTCCCCCCCCCCTTTATTTAGATTAGCTTGGTTTTTTATTGTATTGTATGGCAAAAAAATTCAATAAAATCTGTGGGAGGCAGGGAAGACCCTGTTCTATATCATAAGCTGTTTCCAAATGGGCAGGAATGGCTGGGGAAACCCAGCCAGATGGGCGGGGTAGAAGTAATAAATTATTATTATTATTATTAACACAGCATCCTCTCCTGCAAAGCTTAATGGGGGAGTGTGGGGCCATATGGAGAGAGGTACTTTCTAACAGCTAAATTATGATTGTACATTTTTGTGAGAATTTGATTGTTTTATCTTTTTTTGTAAACCACTTTCAAGGTTTTTTTCTAGAAATGGTATATAGTTTTTTTTGTAAAATAATAAATAAATGCGGATCACACTGAGTTAACAGGCTTACACCCAATTAACTGTGTGCATTATTGCATCTGAAATATATGCAGCATACTCATAGTCTCTGTATCTTCAAAGTTGGAGATGAAAACAGCACCTTGAATTGTACCTAGAAGGTAACAGGTAATCAATGCAATTGCTACAAAACCACTTGAATATGTTATTTTCTCTCCCCCCCCCCCCCCCCGCCTGCCAAAAAAGGGATCTGGGTTAGAGTTAGAACTGCTTGAATCTTCAGAGCAGTCTTCAAAAGCAGCATTAGATCACATTGCAGTAGTCTGTATCTGAGGTTGCACGCACATGTATAAAGGCAACCAGGTCTGTGTTTTTCATAAGAGGCCCACCCAGCATATCAGACATGGCTAAAAAAATGCATTCTTGGCTGAAGACACTACTTTGGATTTCAGGAATAGTGCTAGATCCAGGAATACCCTAAGCCTGGTGATCTAGTCTTTCAGGGCTGCGTGGAGTAATGTATGCCACCACTAGACTTTTATGTCCCAATTATATTCTGCATTTCCAAAACTAAGCCTGCAGTTCTATGCATACTTTTCCTGGGAGTGAGCTCCATGTGGGGCTTCATATCTGAGTAGATGCTATGATTGCACTGCAAGGCTCTCAAAATGGCTATTTCCCCCAGAGCCATTGGCTCTCCACCATCTGCTTCATCTTATCTGGAGTCAACCTTTGCCCAATTCACTAGGCCCCCAGACAAACACTGGTTCAGAACACACTCCTCCTGCCCTTGTATTAGTTGAAAATAAAACACAGAGCTGTATATCATCTGCAGCCTACTGATTACACAGAATTCTAACGCTCCAGAAATTTCTCTCAGGGGCTTTTGATAAACAAAGGTGACAGGACTGGAAAATGGGAAAAGAAAGGCAATCTGATTTATCCACCCATAAAAACATATGAGGCAAAAGTTATCTCACAAATGGTTTATGGGGCGGGAGACCATGGTAATTTGACCCCAGCTGAAATGGCACAAAACACCTATTTATGAGAAGGCCTTTTTTGTACAGTCCTCCCTACAATGCAATACCCCTTCAACAGAGATGAGCAATTTTAAATTTCAATTTTATTAATTAGATTTGTGTACCACCCTTCATGCAAAGAGCACCGGGAGGTTCACAACAACAAAATACAAAATGAAAACACAATTATACTACCCCAGACCCCACAACAGGGGCTTCAGACAAACCCACTTGCCCCAAGGGGAGCGGAGAAGCTTCAAGGCAGACAGTTGTTTGTTTTTTCCATTTTTAATGTATAGTTTCTATTGGTGCTTGTTATGTACTGAAGTTCTCACCTTGGGCCAGCAGGGGGATACCATAGGTAGTTTTCACTCAGGTCCACATATGCAAATAAGGGATTGAAAGTAACGTTCAGTGATTGAATAGCTACAGAAAGTGGTTACAGTTGCATTGTAGTGGAGCTCAGGCTGGCTGAACCCTTCAGTTCAGTTCTGTTCTGGCCTGTGAATAAACAAGAGCTGTTTGAAGAATCGCTGTGTTTTCTGATATGTTCACCCACAGTTTAACAGTGCTAATTATGGGGATACATTTTATGGAATTTCACTTCTATATGAGCAATACTGTATAATATTGTTTTATTGGCATCCGTCTGTCTCGATAGAAAATGGGAGTGCACTTCTGGGGTTGAAGGAAAATTGCTGGAGAATCACAACACCTAACGTGGCTGCAGAGACCCCCCTCTTGGCCTCACAGATGTAGTCCAAAGAAAATCAGAGCAATATGTTTCACACTAGCTTGGTTGCAGGGGTT